AGCTTGAGTCAGTCACAGACAAAACGAGTCATCCTCAAAGTGAGTCATAGTACAAGTCAGTCATAATCCAAGTTAGTCATGGCTTGAGTCAGTCACAGACAAAACGAGTCATCCTCAAAGTGAGTCATAGTACAAGTCAGTCATAATCCAAGTTAGTCATAGCTTGAGTCAGTCACAGACAAAACGAGTCATCGTCAAAGCGAGTCATAGTACAAGTCAGTCATAATTCAAGTTAGTCATGGCTTGAGGCAGTCACAGACAAAACGAGTCATCGTCAAAGCGAGTCATAGTACAAGTCAGTCATAATCCAAGTTAGGCACAGCTTGAGTCAGTCACAGACAAAACGAGTAATCGTCAAAGCGAGTCATAGTACAAGTCAGTCATAATCCAAGTTAGGCACAGCTTGAGTCAGTCACAGACAAAACGAGTCATCCTCAAAGTGAGTCATAGTACAAGTCAGTCATAATCCAAGTTAGTCATGGCTTGAGTGAGTCACAGACAAAACGAGTCATCCTCAAAGTGAGCATAGTACAAGTCAGTCATAATCCAAGTTAGTCATGGCTTGAGTCAGTCGCAGACAAAACGAGTCATCGTCAAAGTCAGTCATAGTACAAGTCAGTCATAATCCAAGTTAGTCATGGCTTGAGTCAGTCACAGAATACCAAGTCAGCCATCGTCTGATTCGATGGTAGTCGGGAATCATCGGTCCTCGTCAGCCGTAGACCGAGGAGTGACAAAGTGACAGAGTGACAGAGTGACAAAGTGACAAAGTGACAGAGCGACAAAGTGACAGAGTGACAGAGTGACAAAGTGACAGAGTGACAGAGTGACAAAGTGACAGAGTGACAGAGTGACAAAGTGACAGAGTGACAAAGTCACAGAGTGACAGAGTGACAGAGCGACAGAGTGACAGAGTGACAGAGCGACAAAGTGACAGAGTGACAGAGTGACAAAGTGACAGAGTGACAGAGTGACAAAGTGACAGAGTGACAGAGTGACAGAGCGACAAAGTGACAGAGTGACAGAGTGACAGAGTGACAAAGTGACAGAGTGACAGAGTGACAGAGTGACAAAGTGACAGAATGACCAAGTGACAGAGCGACAAAGTGACAAAGTGACAAGTCACAGAGTGACAGAGTCATGAAGTGACAGAGTGACAGAGTGACAGAATAACAAAGTGACAGAGTGACAGAGTCACAAAGTGACAGTGACAGCGTGACAGAATGACAGAGTGACAGAGTCAGAGTGACAGAGTGACAGAGTGACAGTGACAAAGTGACAGAGTGACAGAGTGACAGAGTGAGAGAGTGACAAAGTGACAGAGTGACAGAGTGACAGAGTGACAAAGTGACAAAGTGTCAGAGTGACAGTGACAAAGTGACAAAGTGACAAAGTGACAGAGTGACAGATTGACAGAGTGACAAAGCGACAGAGTGACAGAGCGACAAAGCGACAGAGTGACAGAGTGACAAAGTGACAGAGTGACAGAGTGACAGATTGACAGAGCGACAAAGTGACACAGAGTGACAAAGTTACAGAGTGACAGAGTGACAAAGTGACAGAGTGACAAAGTCACAGAGTGACAGAGTGACAGAGCGACAAAGTGACAGAGTGACAAAGTGATAGAGTGACAGAGTGACAGAGTGACAGAATAACAAAGTGACAGAGTGACAGAGTTACAAAGTGACAGTGACAGAGTGACAGAGTGACAGAATGACAGAGTGACAGAGTCAGAGTCACAGAGTGACAGAGTGACAGAGTGACAAAGTGACAGAGTGACAGAGTGACAGAGTGAGAGAGTGACAAAGTGACAGAGTGACAGAGTGACAAAGTGACAAAGTGACAAAATGACAGTGACAAAGTGACAAAGTGACAAAGTGACAAAGTGACAGAGTGACAAAGTGACAGAGTGACAGAGCGACAAAGCGACAGAGTGACAGAGTGACAAAGTGACAGAGTGACAAAGTCACAGAGTGACAGAGTGACAGAGCGACAAAGTGACAGAGTGACAGAGTGACAAAGTGATAGAGTGACAGAGTGACAGAGTGACAGAATAACAAAGTGACAGAGTGACAGAGTCACAAAGTGACAGTGACAGAGTGACAGAGTGACAGAATGACAGAGTGACAGAGTCAGAGTCACAGAGTGACAGAGTGACAGAGTGACAAAGTGACAGAGTGACAGAGTGACAGAGTGAGAGAGTGACACAGTGACAGAGTGACAGAGTGACAAAGTGACAAAGTGACAAAATGACAGAGTGACAGTGACAAAGTGACAAAGTGACAAAGTGACAGAGTGACAAAGTGACAGAGTGACAGAGCGACAAAGCGACAGAGTGACAGAGTGACAAAGTGACAGAGTGACAAAGTCACAGAGTGACAGAGTGACAGAGCGACAAAGTGACAGAGTGACAGAGTGACAAAGTGATAGAGTGACAGAGTGACAGAGTGACAAAGTGACAGAGTGACAAAGTGACAAAATGACAGAGTGACAGTGACAAAGTGACAAAGTGACAAAGTGACAGAGTGACAAAGTGACAGAGTGACAGAGCGACAAAGCGACAGAGTGACAGAGTGACAAAGTGACAGAGTGACAAAGTCACAGAGTGACAGAGTGACAGAGCGACAAAGTGACAGAGTGACAGAGTGACAAAGTGATAGAGTGACAGAGTGACAGAATAACAAAGTGACAGAGTGACAGAGTCACAAAGTGACAGTGACAGAGTGACAGAGTGACAGAATGACAGAGTGACAGAGTCAGAGTCACAGAGTGACAGAGTGACAGAGTGACAAAGTGACAGAGTGACAGAGTGAGAGAGTGACAAAGTGACAGAGTGACAGAGTGACAAAGTGACAAAGTGACAAAATGACAGAGTGACAGTGACAAAGTGACAAAGTGACAGAGTGACAAAGTGACAGAGTGACAGAGCGACAAAGCGACAGAGTGACAGAGTGACAAAGTGACAGAGTGACAAAGTGACAGAGTGACAGAGCGACAAAGTGACAGAGTGACAAAGTGACACAGCGACAGAGTGACAAAGTGACAGAGCGACAGAGTCACAAAGCGACAAAGTGACAGAGTGACAGAGTGACAGAGCGACAGAGCGACAGAGTGACAGAGTCACAAAGTGACAGAGTGACAGAGTGACAGAGTGACAGAATGACAGAGTGACAGAGTGACGGAGTGACAAAGTGACAGAGTGACAGAGCGACAAAGTGACAGAGCAACAAAGTGACAGAATGACAAAATGACAGAGTGACAGAGTGACAGAATGACAGAGTGACAGAATGACAAGAGTGACAGAATGACAAAGTGACAGAATGACAGAGTGACAGAATGACAAAGTGACAGAATGACAGAGTGACAGAATGACAAAGTGACAGAATGACAGAGTGACAGAATGACAAAGTGATAGAGTGACAGAATGACAGAGTGACAAAGTGACAGAGTGACAGAATGACAGAGTGACAGAGTGACAGAATGACAAAGTGACAGAATGACAGAGTGACAGAATGACAAAATGACAGAGTGACAGAGTGACAGAATGACAGAATGACAGAGTGACAGAATGACAAAGTGACAGAATGACAGAGTGACAGAATGACAAAATGACAGAGTGACAGAGTGACAGAATGACAGAATGACAGAGTGACAGAATGACAGAGTGACAGAGTGACAGAATGACAGAGTGACAGAATGACAGAGTGACAGAATGACAGTCGCCCGGGCCAGGTCGCCCTGCGGGGTCTCGCGCCCGCGGGGGGTGCGGCTGGAAGCCCCCCCACACCCCAACCCCCACCCAAGTGATTTGCTTACCTTTCCTATCCTTTGGACTTCTATCGTGTTTTGTAATGCTCTGACGTGCCCCGAACTGGAAATCTATGAAAAGAGCTTCATAGCTCATCAGATTCCTCCGGTGTAAACACATATTGTGATTCTGCTCATCAGTAACATCATCGTCATCATCATCTCGAACGTGACCATGATCTCATCCCTGTTCATCATCACCACCACCACTACCTATGAGATCTTCACTCAAAACTGCTCTAGAGGAGTTGTACACCGCTAGCTGCCGCTGCTATTCGGTGGCCTAAAATAAAATAAAATGTTTCGCTCCGGATGACTGCTGCAAAGTATTATCTGTATTTTGATTTAGTGTGCTGATCTTAAAGGTGCATTGAAAAATGTGATACTCCGACTGATGCTTCTGCTGTTGTTGAGTGACTCATGCAGCCAGCTATGGCTCTAGGGTTTGGTGTTACGTGTTATTTATGTCGTTTATTGTAAAAAATTCGGTCACAGTGCCTATGATCACTGTTACATTGCATTTATGGCTTTATTTTGGTGATTTCGAAAAGTTTTTTGGTTTGGCCATGTTTTTGTTTATTGTAGTACGGAGTTAGACTGATGGCCTTAATCTTAGTTGTCTTGTGGTTGTTGTTGTTGTTTGACTTACATCCCACTGGGATTTTTGCACACAGCGTTGGTGTACGGTGCTTTTTTCAGGAATATTTTGATGTTTTTTTTCCTGGATTTTCTGTTTGCACAGTCAACACATAGTCACTTTAAAATGTTTTCTTGTTCGTGTTTTAGTTTTTGTGTTTGTTGCGGTTGCACCCGATTCAAGAGCCGAATGGCTCACAGGGCTATACCAAAATAAATGGAAACTGACACTGAATTAAACCACGTGGTGACGCCCAGGCGGAACAGAGTTGTCTGAAGCGGAACTTTTCTACCCACGCGGGGGGCTGAGCTGCTCGATTGTTTCCACCCGGAGCCGCCACCCGCCGCCCCCAGGTTGGCGGGAACCGTTTTTTGAATTCCGCACAGCGGATAGGCGGCGGTGCGACTCCCCCCCCTCCTCCCCCCTCCTCATTGGCCCGCTCGAAGGAGCCGTCACGTGACTCGCGGGACGCCCGCGCGTGCGCGCTGGAAAATCCAATTCGCGGCCCCGCGCGCCTTCACCTCTGTCCAGGTGGCTGCCGCCTTCGATGTGAGCGCTCAGCGGGGAGGGGGGTGAGGCGTGAGGAGGTTATTCTCTTTAATTTACAACAATAACAACTTCGTGCCGTAGGCTGCGATAACAGTTGCCGCTGCTGGTTGTTGTTAGGCGTTGTCAAGTGAGGGCGCGTGTTTACCGAGAGGCGGGGAGGTTGGTGGGGTGTTGAACCGGTTGCGAGGGCCCGCCACGCGCTTTGTAAATATCGCGCCGGCGTCTCCTCATCATCATCCAGCAGCGGATCGACCACGGCTGACGACAACGAGCGGTAGACGCCGCGTACAACACGTTCGCGTTGCGTTTGCGGTGGCCGCTGCGACGACAAAGTAAAGTTAGAATGTCGCGGGATCGCGAGAGAATGAGCCGGGGTTGGTGGTGGTGGTGGTGACGATGAGGTTTTGGTGGTGGTGACGGTGGTAACGAGGTTTTGGTGGTGGTGACGATGCTTTGGTGGTGGTGACGATGAGGTTTTGGTGGTGGTGGTGACGGTGGTGACAAGGTTTTGGTGGTGGTGACGGTGGTGACAATGAGGTTTTGGTGGTGGTGATGATGAAGTTTTGGCGGTGACGAGGTTTTGGTGGTGGTAACGGTGGTGACAATGAGGTTTTGGTAGTGGTGGTGACGGCGGTGACGAGGTTTTGGTGGTTGTGACGATGAGGTTTTGGTGGTGGTGATGAGGTTTTGGTGGTGGTGATGAGGTTTTGGTGGTGGTGGTGGTGATGAGGTTTTGGTGGTGACGGGGTTTTGGTGGTTGTGACGAAGAGGTTTTGGTAGTGGTGACGGTGGGGACGATGAGGTTTTGGTAGTGGTGACGGTGGTGGCGATGAGGTTTTGGTAGTGGTGACGGTGGTGACGACGAGGTTATGGTTTTCGAGGACTGGGTGGGTGGGTGGGGTGTTTGGGTGACACAGCCGATGGCCGCAGTGGACGTGGACATTAAACTCCTTAGTGCGATGCTCTTCGCTCAGTTTCAGTGCGGTGGGGGGCACTGCCGCCGATGAGACGTCACCGGTGTGAGTGCCGGCACGCACCATTCGAAACCTTTGGGAGTGTGGACAGCAGCGGCACGATGACGATGGTGATGGGATGGTGGTGTCGCTCTTTGTGTATTGTCGGGGGCCCGCGCTAAAGGCCACCAGGGGCTCCCAGTGGCCCGCGGGCCTTGCTCTGAAGAACGCCGCCGTACGCTGTGTTGTTGGTAGCGCAACTTACTACGCCACCGCTCCACTTGACGGGGACGACGGTACAGTCATTATACGTCAGAATCAGAACATATTAATTTATACTGCAGGAGGAATCCGATGAGCTACTAAGCTCTTTTTTTCACAGATGCCCAGTAGAGACGCGGGGTCAGAACGTAAACAACAAACAGAAGAACACGATAGTATTGCTCAGACAGACGCACGTGGCAAATGGGACCCCCTCCCCGTGTTTTCTCACAGCAGAGAGGACATCCTGTCTCCCCGTGTCTCCTCTGCATCCCCCGTGTCCCTGTCAGTGTCCCGTCTTTGTCTCCCTTGCTTTCTGTCTGCCCCCCCCTCACCCCGTCTCCACGTGTCTCCCTGCCCCTCTCTCGCTATGCAGGTGCTCTCCAGAGCCTGGAGGCACGTTTCTTAAGGTATTCTTGCAAATTATCAGAAGTGTTTACATTTTTTTTATCCCCTCTCCCTGTCCCATCTACACCACACTCTCCTTATCTCTCGGTTTAATCTCTCCTCGCTTTTCTCCACCCCTCCCTGTCTCCATCCAGATTCCCTAAACTAAAATATTGTTTTATCTTACCAGGTAAACCCCGCTGAGCAATTCGCTTATTTTTCAGACGCGACCTGGCTACAAGTGATAGCTCAACGAAGTGGCTTATCACGTGGACATTTATAACAGCAAAATAATCTAGACGCATGTTAATTTAAGTAAGTAGTCATCATGACTGCTGCAATGATAAGGTACTACCTGTCAGTAATAACTCAGGCAAGACTGTCAAAAGTCAGACTGGGACAAACTCGGGATGCTTAGGATGCAGTGTAAACAATCAAGACTGATCTTTGTCGAACACCTCGGCACAAACTTTTAGCGAAGTTTTTGTTCGGTCCTTGGGCCTCAGATGTGGAACGCTCTGCCTACCGAGCTGCTATTTCATAATAAACTAAACACCTACTTCTTTCCTACGATAGGTTCGATACATTCAAGATGTTTTTTTTTCTCATCCTTCTGTATGGCACTCCTTACTGCGCATGACAAAAACGTTAAATAATAAACTAATTCTCAGCCCCAGACACCAACGGAGGCCACAACCTGCGACCGCCACCACTGCCGCCGGCTCCCGTCTGCGCCATGCAGCAACCGGCGAAAGCCGCGGGAGGGTCTGGGGACCCTTCCAGGGCGGAGGCGAAGCCACAGCCGCAGGCGCCGCGCGTGCGGCTGTGGCTTCGTGACGAACCGTTTCGCGTTGGCGTGCTCCCCATGGCGCCTCCCACCAAGCTGGGCGTCTACTACCTGCACAAGGTGGCGGCGTACGTGAGAATTCGCCCGCTCGGATTCCCCAGGTGAGGAGGAGGATGAGGAGTTGGGGGTGGGGGGGGGTGTTAAGAGGCACCGGTGTCAGCTTGTGATCTTAATCAAGGTTGTCGACATTATGCAGAATTTGTGTGTGTGTGTGTGTGTGAAGACTTAAGTCCAACTAACGCAGTGTTAGTCGCAAATTTTCCGAGGATGGCCGATAAGGCATCGTCAGTGTGAGGAGGGCCGCCACACCGCCTTGCGAAGGTTTTCACATTTGTGTTTTGTCGGGGGGGGCCGCACTAAAGGTCACCTGGGGCCGCCAATGGCCCGCGGGTCTTGCTTATTAAGAGCACCGAACTAATAAGTCGGCTTTCGCGACCAATGCTGCGATTCATATTTCATTTTTTTTAATCGGATGATTTCAATGTGTGCCATACACCCTCCTCCACCCGACGCAACCAGTTAATGAAGTTGTCACGTGACGAACAAACGTGGCCAATTTCACAACTGTTCAGCAGCGCAACCGTTATGCCGTTCGTGAGTAATGTCATAGCATTAAACAATTGGGTGCGGACGTTTCGCCGATAGTTACAGCCAGCATCATCAGGCAGTTGCCAGAATTGGGGTAACTGGATTTTTTTTTTAGTCATCCTTGTCGACAAGTTGTGGAAATTTACTCCTCTTGGTTGCCTAGACACCCACATCATTTGCTCAGTCTGTGTACATTCGCAATTTGATAGATTACACCTGTCGATTAATAATGACGGATAAGTAATTGATTTATGCTGTAATTCGATTCAACACTATTTAACCGTTTAAGCAGTGGACTGACCATGACCGATTACGATGACGACGGTGATATAACAGAGCAGGTTTCCACTTTCCGTTAAATAAACGCACGCACGGACTCGTGCAATAACGCGGACGTACGCGTGTTTGCCGTGCGTGTGCTTGCGTGGCAGGCTGACCTGGCCAATGTGGCGGCACGTGGCATGCGGGAAGCTGCAACTTCCCGAGGAGGTGGCGTGGTTGTACATGGAGAGCTGCGACACGCTGGCGCCCGAGTGGACGGCCCAGCGGCGCCTCGAGTGGGCCGAGGAGGTGTCCGAGTGCCGCTCGCGTGCCAGCACAGAGCAGCTGCGCGCGCAGGTGACACCACAGCCACTGAAACCGCCGATACTACCGCCACCGCCACTGACACCACCACTGTGAAAGCAATGCCGTCACAGAGACCACCACCGACACCAGCACCACCACTGCAACCACCGATATCAGCCGCTACAGCTACCACGACCAACACCGCCGGCACCAACCCCCATTAGCACAGCAAATACGCGGATATCAACAAAACCACAGTTCTGGACATAGAAGTGGGCAAGTGGCTAAGAGGTGAGAAGCCTGAGCCATCACTTCTGAAACCCTGGGTTACAACCCAGGTTTAAACTGCTGCCCGTGATTAAAACCACATTGTCAAGGGCAGTGAGTTGACACGGTCTCTGGCCCGGTCACCAAATTTAGAAACGTAACATTAAATGTGGCGTGCAATGCAACTCTCGCCCTGTGCAGCCCGATGTTGCATTCCTCTTGTTCTCTCTTTTGCCGTGAAGATTTTTTGCCAACCGTTTTTGTTCAACGTTGAAGGCTGAACAGACTCTACCGGTTTACTCCATACGTAGTCATCCATGCATCTGATCCATTCTCAGGTGGAACAATGCCATCATAGACCCCCTGTGTGTGTGTGTGCCCATAACTTCTGTGTGTGTGTGTGTGTGCACCTGTGTATGTGTGGGGAGTGATATTGTAGCGCTAAGCGCTCTGTGCTATGAACCTGGCAAAACCTTAGTTTGATTGCAACTAGCAGAAAACATTGATGACGAGTTTCTGAACCGAACCTGATCATTCTCTAGGTCGGCTCAGCGTTAAATGAGTACTTGGTGTAGTGTGCACACACAACTGCTGGGGAGACAAAGGTGGCTATGCGTAGGGCTATACACACCGCTCCCTCTTGCACCGTGTTGACCTTCATAGATGCTCGCTCACAGCATTTGCCCCAACAGTCTGTGTAGGCTACACAGGGGTATATTTGTCTATCCGTGTGCCCTGATGCCCGCATGTGTGTGTGTGTGTTCCCATGTACAGCTGAGTGTGGACACGCTGCGGTTCCTACTCTTCCTCTACATCCAGGAGTTGAGTCGCACGTCGCTGCGCCGCCACTCGCTGGTCGCGGAGGACTGGCCGAGTCCGCGGGGCCAGCCGGATGATCACGAGCAACGCTCTCTCACCCAGGGCAAGGTGTGGCTCGTGCAGAGGGGCACGGTGCAGCGCTTGTACACGCAGACACAGAGGTCTCCCATGTAGCCTTAGCAGACGATTGGGGCATGTTCTGTTCGTGAGTAGCAGCACCTATGGAGGCCGGCACGGCACGTGGGGGTTAGTGTGGCCAGCACCACACGCGGCATCCTTTTGTCTCTCTAAGTGGCGATGTTTTTACATACCGCACCAGGTGCTTATTTTAAGGCTGAGTTGACTGGGTGGAGCCCGAGGACCGGTTCTGATATTCGTCACTGGTGTTGGCTGTGAGCGGGAATCAAACTAGGGTTGCTGGGTTTCGTGGCGCACACATTAACACGCCTATGCACACACGCACACACACTCGTACATCTGGCTGACTCTTCACTCACTCCTCCCTCCCTGCCACCCCCCCCCCCCCTCCGCCGTCGTCCCAGTATCTGGATGGCCAACAGCACCTGTCCTTCGTGAAGAGTGGCCTCTCCGACCTGCTCAAGTTGCTGCTGGAGCCCGCGGGGATGCACGCCGTGCGCTGGAGCTCGCTGTCCGAGTCGCTGCTGCCGTTGTCGGCGCTGCGCACCCTCGACATGCTGATGGAGGGATCGGCCGATCGGGGCCAGCGCATCCGCCCGCTCAGCGAGCTGGCCACCGCCGCGCAGGTGCCCACACCGGTGCCCCGCGGCGTGCGTGGCGACGGGGGGTGGGTGGGGGGGGTGGGAGGGTAGGAGGTGGGGTGGGCGGCGTGTCTGTTGGGGTCGGTCGCAATTGGGGTCTGGGTGGGATATCCGCGCCTGAAACCGTGCGAAAATCCGAAAGCATGCTATAGAGTAAGTCCGACTCTACAAGCGTCTTAGCCGTACTTATCTGGTACTGGAGTTGAATGTGTTCTGCTGTATTGCGTGCGTTGCGCTGCGCTGTGCGGGTGCGACGGCTGTGACGGTGGTGCGTTCACCCCCACCCCCAGGCCGACAGCGGCTTCCTACCAGGCTTGAAGGCCTTCTCGCTGAGGCCACTTCAGCTGTGGCTGCGCGACCACCTGAACCTCAGCCCCTACGGCATGTCGGCGTGTCTGCAGCGTGGCCGTCACCTCTCCTGGGCGCAGAATGGTGAGCCGGCGAGTCCGGCGCCCTTGCTACGCCCTTGCCACTCCCTGGCCACTCCTTCGCGACGCACTCACCACTCCCTCGCCACTCCCTCGCCACTCCCTCGCCAATCCTTTGCCACTCGCTCGCCACTCGCACCATGTCATTGTGAACCGCTTGCTCAAAATTCGCTGTGAGCCGCTCACTTTTAGTTGGTTGGCCTTCCCCCGCACTTTGATTATCGTGGTTGGCTATGTACAGTGCAAAAGAAGCTTAACATACAACTCCCCCACTCGCCCCGCTCGCTCTCAATTCGCCAGTCGCACTCGCCAGACTCCACGCGCACCGCGTCTCCACTAGGCGCGCGCGCGCGCGCCTCGCACGCGTGTTTGGACACGCACACGTTGGCGAGGTCCACTACGTAGAAAGAAGTTAAACCCACACACACGCGTACATAAGCTTGCGTACGCGCGTGTGTGCCCCCACCGCCCCCCACCTACCACTGTGCCAGGCGAGGGCACCGCGCAGCGCGCGTGCATGCTGCGCAGTGGGCAGGGGACGCCGGCGGGCGCACGCGTGGTGATGCTGAGGAAGGCGAGCCGGCAAACGCTGGCGCGCAGCTCGCCACGGCTGGCCGGCGCGCACGTGTGCATCCACCGCTGCAGCGACTCTTTCATCTACCTGCTGTCGCCGCTCAGGTGAGGAGCAGCAGCAGGCGAGCCGTGGTATCACGACCGTGTCGGTGAGCTGTACCGTGCCCGGGGGTAACGCTGGGTTTTTCCCGGCTACTCGATTGGCAAACGCGCAAACTGGCTTGGCCCCCCACCACCCGGTGCTGCAAAGGTTGGAATCTGGTACACTGCTCCTAGTTGTACCGCTGCATATGCTAACCGTGAATTGCGCGGTCTGCTTCGATGTGGCCGTTAGAAATCCCCTCTGGTCATTCACAACGAGCAGGATTTTGCGTGCCGGTATCGCAGTCCAAATTTGCCGAATGCGAAAAGTTGCATCGCATATTGTAAAATGGGACTGCACACACGCACGCACCTCCGATTAGCACGGTTGGTTACGTACCGTGCAAAATAAGTTCAATACATGTACGTACATACTGCAACATCGCCCCCTCCTGCAAAACTGCTGCAGACCGTGTCTCTGAAGCATAACGTCGTCGTGATGATAGCCTTGTGCTGTAAGAATGCCGCGAATATCAAATGTTCAAATTATTTGAATCGATTCGGGAATGCGGCGTGCCGAGGAGGTCGGATTCTTGACACCGTTAACCGTGATGGCATCACACACGCCACGCTTGCCCCGTCACGTCGCCACACGTAAAAGTCGTCCTGTGGTTGCCGGGTGGTGCCGGCATGCCGCTGAGAATGTGCCGGAGCTGAGATGTCCTGTCTTTGCTTTCCGGCCACGATGACGCCCCTCCGACTGAACTAACGCGCATGCCGCTGCTGCCGCCACGTCGACAGGTCGGTTAGCATCGAGCGATGCCGACGGACGGTGCTGGTGCTGGGCCCCGTGGAGACGCACGTGACCGTGCACGGCTGCGAGGATGTCACGGTGGTGGTGGCGTGTCGTCGCCTCGTCGCCTCTGCCTGCTCCGCCTGCACCTTTCACTTGCTCACGCCGTGCCGGCCGCTGCTGGTGTCAGCGCCCAGTGGCGACACCGGCATCACGCTGGCGCCGTACCACACGCACTACCCGCTGCTGGAGGAGCACATGGCTCGGGCGGGCCTCGCCGCCGTGCCCAACCGCTGGGACCAGCCGCTGTGCCTGGGCGGGCCTGAGGCCGATGGCACCAATGGGAAGTGCTACCGCCTGCTCCCTCCAAGCGAGCTGCACCTGCTGACGGTGCCGTTCGCGATTGCGGGCGGCACCACGAGTGAGGTGCCGGGAGGGCTTCCCGGCGCGTACGAGCGGGCGCTGGCGGCGCGCGACCAGAGCGTGCAGGCGTGGCAGCAAACCATGCGATACGCCAACCTCACCAGGCAAGCCCAGCGTGTGTGTTGAAAGTGTCCATACACGTATGTGTGTGTGTGTGTGTGCCTGTCCAAAAAGAACAACCTCCCCTACGTCCTCGGTGGTGCCGAATGGTAACGCTGTGGTGGATTTGAGGAATGCCATGGAGGGAAGGCTAATTCCAAAATAGGCTAATTCCAAAATAGGCTATACCACTCCATGACACTTGTAGCCACCACAGCGGCCAAACTGGGGCTCTGGATGGGTGCGATGGACTGGTAACTCGTCCACCTTCAAATAAACTACCACTAAACCACATGATATATATAGAACGAAGCTTGTGCTGGAGGCCCCTGGGAGACAGGCATCTATGACTTATTCTAGCCACCCCCATTTGGCGGAGGCAGGAGACTGATTCCTTACCATTGGGGTTCCTCCAGAAATGGAAAAAAGCCACTGCGGGTGGCCACGTGGAATGTTTGAATGCTCACTGCGGAGGAGAGGCTGGACTGGTCCCGCCTGGATCTCTGCGGTATTTAGGCAGGTCCGGTGGACTCGCTCCTTCCACCATGAGGGGTGGACAGTCCTCGATTTGGGGCAGGAGACTGCCAAACAACAGGGAGTGGCTCTTTTGAACAAATATTTTTAAGGGGTGTTGGCGCATGGCGGTGAGGTGTGGGGAGCTGTAAGCCCCAGGCTACTGTGGGCTCACCTCCCCATCAACCAGAGGTCAGGAGAGGTGGTGGTGGTGGTTACTTATGCCCCCAACGAAGATTAATATCAGTGGAGGGATGCAGGCAAGGCCAATGAGTCAGATGCCTTCTATGGCCTCCTGTCACGAGTGCTAGCTAAAGTAGCCCCTCAGTATAGTCATCTTGTTGGCTGACTTTAATGCCTGAGTGGATCATGATACTGGCACCTGGGCTAGAGTGATTGGAAGGCATGGGCCATATTAGCTCAATAACAATGGTAGGAGGCTGCTAGACTTTTGTGCAGCCCATGGGCTTGTAATTATCAACACGCTGTTCCGGCATCGGCGCATCCACGCAACATCGTGGATGCACGCCGGGTCTATCAAGAACATCTGCTGGACTATATAGTGATGGACCAGCGGATGCGGGCCCATGTCAGGACCTACCGTGGAGCTGTTTAGTCCATTGACCACCGACTTGTCATCTGTAAGATGCGACTGCCGTTCTTCCACTCCAGTGGTGGATGTACATCCAGGACCCCATTAAAACCCACAGTGGCCTGGTATCAGCTAGCTGCTGAAAGTTGCAAGTGAGAATTTCATCATCGCTTGCAGTTGTGTTGGCATCATCCCCCCCCCCTCCTAATGCCGTGTGGGGAAATGTTCGATGTGTAGGACTGTGGCTCATGCAGCTGCAATGGCTGCTTTAGGTACACGGTCTAAACCTCTCACTATCTGAAATTTCACGCTTAACTTACAATTTAACAATCTTTGAAACAGCGTATTCAACCAAACCATGCGTTAATTGTGTTTTAACTGACCGTTTGTGTTGCTTTATATAGTTTCCAAATTTTGCTAAACCCTGTTTGATTTAGTGTGATGTTCCATCCCTCTGTATCCCTTGGTATATCTGTGTTAATTCTCCCTACTTAAGGTCTGTCTGCGGTTATATGTTTCCTCTACCTGATGATGATTGCTTGTGTTGCGATCGAAACGTCGTATGCTATTATATAATTTTATTATTTTATTATTTCTACGTGACTTTACCGAAAAAAACCAAAGAGTAATTCCTGCAGTCACGAAAGCGCCTAATCAAGTTCGGTCTAAACCTTCTTAGAGACCCTGGCTGACAGAGGAGGTGTTCGAGCTGGCTGAGAAAAAGCAACAGGCCCACTCCCACCATCTACAGCAGGGGTGTCCAAACTTTTTTTTCCCGAGGGCCACATACAGAAAAATATACGAAGGACTGGGCCACTCACTAGACGTGAGGTATACTGCCTCACTTCTCATGCACTAATATTGCCAAAATCAATCAAATGCAGGTAAATTACGTTTGATAATTGAACATGTTTGAAGAAAAAAAGCCTCCATCATAGCTTTACATAAGTAGATTTTCATTTTATTTTTTACAAAAAGGTTGGCAGGTCATTCTCTCAGTGACAGCCTCAGATTGGTTCTTAGGGTGCTGATCCTCCTTCATTGTCCTGTATGAAGGGAGAGACAAGAGAAATAGGGGATGTGGATATTTCAAGCTTATTACACAAATACATTTTTGGGCTTGTTAACACATCAGCTAACGTTTTTTAAAAAATTGTCATCAACTTTAATTGACTGATTTTATAAAGTAATTGGGCTTATTAACAAATGAAAACTGCGTGTATATTTTTAACTCACCTGTAATGGGAAGAATGTTGCGCTCAGTGGGAGTAGTGATGCTGCGCTTTGGTCTGAAGGATAGCTGGCAGGTCACAGGAGTAAGTTTGGTGGTTGAGATGCGAAGGACGTCACGGAGATCGCTGTCGGTGGTTCTGGTTCTCAGTCTGCTTTTGTTCAGCGTTAACAGAGAGAATGTCTGCTCACAGATGTATGTTGAGCCGAACATACTCATCATTCGTTTTGCATGGCGTCTCATCAGAGGCCTTTTCCAAGCTCCGGTAGAAGTCAGGTAGGGAGAGAAGCTGATGCTGATTCTTCAGAGAATCATCACACTGAATTTCGATCAGTTCTAATTGCAGACTCTCCTTCACTTCTTTTGCATTCATTGAAAATGGAGCCGCAAACAGTGTGATTTCCTTCTCAATGACATAAAAATCTTGGAAGCGCTGACTGAATTCTGTCATGAGAGATGTGATCACAGACACATTCTCCCATTTTTGCAGAGAGCTTGGCATTTGGAAATGCGCTTTTGATTTCGGTCAGCATGGGGAAGTGCGCTACATTGAAGTTGCGCAGTTGTGACTCGAAGAGACGGAGCTTCACACGGAATGCTTTCATGTGCGCATACAGCTGGGGTACCAGCTGCTCTTTGCCTTGTAGTCTCTTGTTCAGGGTGTTGAGATGATCAGTGAGATCAACTAAAAAAGCCAGGTCTGCCAACCATAAAGGGTCACTGATCTCATGGAGAGGTCTGCCCTTTTCTTTCAAAAACTTGTCGATATTTGATCTCAGGGAATAAAACCGCTGCAGCACGGAGGCGCGACTGAGCCAGCGCACTTCAGAATGGTAGAGTAGGTCCCTGTATTCAGCATCGACATCAGAGAGGAATGCTTGAAATTCTCTGTGGTAAAGCCCTCGTGCCCAAATTATATTGACAGTTTTCACAACTGTGTTCATCACATCGCCAAGCTGGATTATCTTGGCACAGAGGGCTTCTTGGTGGATGATACGGTGCATTTTGACAGCCTCACCTCCGCTCTCCCGCACCTTGGCACTCACCATAGAGGCCATTCCTTTGCGCTCGCCAGTCATTGCTGGAGCCCCATCCGTTGTAATTCCACACAGCTTGTCCCATTTAAGTCCAGCCTGGTAAATTGCATCTGACACAGCTTCAAACATGTCCTTCCCAGTTGCTGTCCTCTTTAGACTCCGAAGATCGAGCTGTTCCTCCGTAATGCAAAAATTATCATCAACTCCCCGCAAAAAAATTAACAGCTGTGCAGTGCCCGTGGCATCTGTGCTCTCATCACATGCAATTGAGTAAAAATCGAAAGCACAAGCTTTATCTGACACTTGCTGTTTTAAGTTAGCCGACAAGTCTTCAATTCGCCGCATAACCGTATTTCTGGACACACTAACATCGTTGAAATCCTGCATTTTATCCGGGCACATTATTCCCACGACTTGAGTGAGGCACTGTTTGATGAGGTCACCGTCTGAGAAAGGTTTCCCATGTAGGGCAATGAGTTGAGCTGCTTCATAACTGGCTATTGTTGCATTTTCTTGAGCTTTGTTAGCACGGAAAAAAACCTGCTGCTGCCTTAGCAGGCTAGCTGCCATTTGCTTTACCTTCTCCTTCCGCTCGGCGCCAGTGTAGGACGTGAAGGTCTGATGTTTCGTTTCATAATGCCGTCGTACATTGTACTGTTTAATCACGGCAACACTCTCATTACAAATCAAACAAACACACTTCCCCTTGGTTTCTATGAAAAATAATGCATTTTTGCACCGAGTCTGATATTTTATGCACTCGCTTGCAATCTTGCGTCTCTTCGGTTCCGGCATTTTCTGGTGACCCTGAGCAAATTTTTTCTTCGATTGCTTGCTTTGTGGAGACGCTGCCTTGTTCAAGACAATAGCGCCACCTAGTGTTTAAACTAAGAGGTACAATACAGTGGGCCATAGTCCATTATATTTTTAGACTTTAATACGGGCTAATTAAAAATGGATGGCGGGCTGCAGTTGGGCCGCGGGCCGTAGTTTGGACACCCCTGATCTACAACATCCCACGTTAGAGAATGAGGAGGCTTACCGCAGCCTTCGCTCAGAGGTTCGGAGAGCCGTACGGTGCTGCAAGGATGGGTGGTGGTCATGGGTTGCTGAGGAGATGAAGTTTGTTTCAGTAGCCCGCGATCACAAGTTACTCTTTAACCCCATAAAAAAGTGACTTGCAGTTCCACACCTATCACCATCATTAGGGGAAAGAAAGATTTGCAGATTTTCTGAGCATTTCTGTAAAGTCTTGGAGGAGGGGAAATCCCTCAGCCTGGAAAACATTGGGCAAAGCGGGGATGACCCTGCTAAGGCTGTGGTGCCTCAAATATTTGGAGAAGAAGTCAGCCCCTGCGAGTGACTGGCTAAAGTGCCATCTGTTGATGAAGTATAAAAGGCGATCCAAATGTCTTAAAAAGTAAAAGCACCGGGCAGAGATGATCTCCCAAGCGAAATGCTGAGGGAGGGTGGTGTTTGTACACAGACTGCGCTATATGACATCATAACAACAGTCTGGACCACTGGACGGGTTCTGCAGGATTGGAAGGATGCCCTTGTGGTCCCCCTCTTTAAGAAGGAGACCGCACAGACTGTAACAACTCCAGGGGCATCTCCTCAGTGCGTCGGCAAAGGTCCTGGCAAGGATTATTCAACATCGCCTTGCCAGTCATGCTGAGGAGAGGCTTGCGGAGCCCCAATGTGGTTTCAGGTCAGGGTGGTCCTGCACAGATGCCATATTTTATGTCTGTCTGCTACAGCAGAGGTGTAGGGAATTCCAACAGGACCTACATCTCTGCTTTTTTTTACCTGGTCAAGGCCTATGATACCTCAGTAGGCCTGGCTCTAGGTTCTTCGTGCTTTAAGAGTCTCTGACTCTGTTCACAATCATTAAGGACCTTCATGATTGTGGGCAATCCCAGGTTAAACTATGTGGCCGGGAGTCAGAGCCATTCCCTGTTTACCTTGGGGTGTGACAGGGATGTCCTCTGGCTCCCACATTATTTAATATCTATTTCAATTACGTAGTTCGTGAAGGCTTTGATAGCTGTACCGGAGGAATTTCCATCTGGTACAGATACAATGGGAGGCTGATCGATGCCATATTATGTATGCTGATGATCTGGTGATTGCTGCTCACTCAGAGGAGGAGTTGGAGGCACTGCTGCTGAACCTGGAGCGTGCCACTTACAATCAGCCCCACCAAAACTCAGTATTTTGTGCCATCAAACATTCCACCCCCACAACTCCCCATTGGTGATGGGGCAGTTGTGGAGAGAGTGGAGTGTGGAGAGTGGAGCGTTTTCCATACCTGGGTAGTGTGCTCATGACCGGCTCCGGTTTGACAGCAGAGGTCTCACACCCCGAATCAGTCGAGCGGCATTATTTTTTATCGGCTGCATAGTGCTGTTAGGAAACTATGTGGTCTCTTGCTCCACACAAAGCTTCGAGTCTTCTCGGTCAATGGTCATGCCCTCCCTTCTCTATGCTTGCAAAACGTGGACCCTCCCTAATGGAACATCTTCACCGGTTACAAACATTTAGGCTGGCCTACAGTGAGGGAAAAAAAGTATTTGATCCTCTGCTGATTTTGTACGTTTGCCCACTGACAAAGAAATGATCAGTCTATAATTTTAATGGTAGGTTTATTTGAACAGTGAGAGACAGAATAACAACAAAAAAAATCCAGAAAAACGCATGTTAAAAATGTTATAAATTGATTTGCACTTTAATGAGGGAAATAAGTATTTGACCCCCTCTGAATCAGAAAGATTTCTGGCTCCCAGGTGTCTTTTATACAGGTAACGAGCTGAGATTAGGAGCACACTCTTTAAGGGAGTGCTCCTAATCTCAGCTTGTTACCTGTATAAAAGACACCTGTCCACAGAAGCAACCAATCAATCAGATTCCAAACTCTCCACAATGGCCAAGACCAAAGAGCTCTCCAAGGATGTCAGGGACAAGATTGTAGACCTACACAAGGCTGGAATGGGCTACATGACCATTGCCAAGCAGCTTGGTGAGAAGGTGACAACAGTTGGTGCGATTATTCGCAAATGGAAGAAACATAAAAGAACTGGCAATCTCCCTCGGCCTGGGGCTCCATGCAAGATCTCACCTCGTGGAGTTGCAATGATCATGAGAACGGTGAGGAATCAGCCCAGAACTACACGGAAGGATATTGTCAATGATCTCAAGACAGCTGGGACCATAGTCACCAAGAAAACAATTGGTAACATACTACGCCGTGAAGGACTGAAATCCTGCAGCGCCCGCAAGGCCCCCCTGCTCAAGAAAGCACATATACATGCCCGTCTGAAGTTTGCCAATGAACATCTGAATGATTCAGAGGACAACTGGGTGAAAGTGTTGTGGTCAGATGAGACCAAAATGGAGCTCTTTGGCATCAACTCAACTCGCCGTGTTTGGAGGAGGAGGAATGCTGCCTATGACGCCAAGAACACCATCCCTACCGTCAAACATGGAGGTGGAAACATTATGCTTTGGGGATGTTTTTCTGCTAAAGGGACAGGACAACTTTACCGCATCAAAGAGACGATGGACGGGGCCATGTACCGTCAAATCTTGGGTGAGAACCTCCTTCCCTCAGCCAGGGCATTGAAAATGGGTCGTGGATGGGTATTCCAGCATGACAATGACCCAAAACACACGGCCAAGGCAACAAAGGAGTGGCTCAAAAAGAAGCACATTGAGGTCCTGGAGTGGCCTAGCCAGTCTCCAGACCTTAATCCCATAGAAAATCTGTGGAGGGAGCTGAAGGTTCGAGTTACCAAACGTCAGCCTCGGAACCTTAATGATTTGGAGAAGATCTCCAAAGAGGAGTGGGACAAAATCCTTCCTGAGATGTGTGCAAACCTGGTGGCCAACTACAAGAACCGTCTGACCTCTGTGATTGCCACCAAGAGTTTTACCACCAAGTACTAAGTCAAGTTTTGCAGAGGGGTCAAATACTTATTTCCCTCATTAAAATGCAAATCAATTTATAACATTTTTCACATGCGTATTTCTGGATTTTGTTATTCTGTCTCTCACTGTTCAAATAAGCCTCCCATTAAAATTATAGACTGATAATTTATTTGTCAGTGGGCAAACGTACAAAATCAGCAGGGGATCAAAGACTTTTTTCCCTCACTGTACCTGCGATCCATCCTGGGTTTAAACAGGCTGGATTAGATGAGCTCAAATCCTTGAAAGATCTGGAGAAGTCTCATCGGTGAGCTCCTCCGGCAGGCAAGGCTGCGTTGGCTTGGTCACTGCATGCCGAAACAGCTTTTGTTCGGCCAGATAGAGGGGGATAAACGGGCGCGGCATGGGCTAGAGAAGAGATGGAGTGATGTGGTACAGGAGGACGTGGAGCTGAGTGGACTTGCCGATGACTGGTACCAGCGATGTCAAGATCGGCCTCTGTGGAGGAGGCTCGTGAAGGACGCCACTGGGCAGTTTGAGGCAGTCGCCCTCTAACAACAACGGAGGGCAGAGGAGCGATGCTCACAACAACGAGCGGAGCGGTGGATGTCTAAAACACAGCAAGTTGGCACAGTAGGGGGCACAGGTGGTGCATCGGCCAGTCATCTCAGTCAAACTATGGCACCTGGATCTGTCCTGTGACCTCCTGCCAGCGGGCGTTTGACACTTCACGTGGCCTTAACGTGCACATAGCCTGGCACAAACACAGTGGTGACGTCACTGCCACTTACTGGCGAATGGCGGTTGTTGTTGGCCTGGCCACCCACCCCTTCGCGTACTTTTATTTCTTCTCAGGTGCTCGCTAACAGCACTTGCCCCGAAAGTCGGTTCAGGGTGTACGGGGGGGATCTTTGTCTTTTCTTGTATCTGTGGAGAGTGGTTAGCATGCTGCACCATGCCGACCCTCACGCCGCGACGCGTCACGACACGCTGACGCACGTGGCCCCCCCGCGCGCTTTCCGTGCGACGCAGGGAGAAGACGGATCGGTTCCGGCTTCTGGTGAAGGAGTTGTTCTGCGAGTGGCTGAAGGACTCAGGCCACCAGAAGCAACTCGACGGGCTCATCCCCACTCCCGAGCAGCACGCCACGCCGCCGTGACAGGGCGCCTTCGACACGGCGACGCGGTCACCATCACCACCGTCGCCACGGCGACGCGGTCACCATCACCACCGTCGCCGCGGAGACGCTGTCGTCGCCGTCGCCACGGAGACACTTCCACCGCCGCCACCGCTACGGTGACGCGGTCACCAGCACCGTCGCAACGGAGACGCGGTCACCGTCACCAACGTCGCCAGGTGACGCGGTCACCACCGCCGCTGCCGCCGATACGATAACACGCTCGCCGCCGCTGCTGCGGAGGTGGAGTTGCGGAGGTGGAGTTGCCGCGGCGATGCAAGGCGCGACGCCGAGTCGAGCAGGCGTTCGGCAACCCGGCAACCACGTGGTATCGCGAGTGTGACTACCGGCCGCTTATGGTTTGCGTATGTTGGAGCCGGTTGAAGTGGTTTCCCGTGGCCGTGTGTCACTGCATTGTGGCCTTCTGAATTCTGAGCGTTAACTTTATACCCATGAGAATCCGAAAGGGGCCTTAGTCTGGCTCGGCAGGCCTCTGGAAATAACCTGGACCCAAGCAATGCTAAAGTTGCCTTAATATGGCTTTATGACCCTTGGGAAGCCGTAGGAACCCGAGAGGTACCTTAACATTGGAGTTCTGCGCGTTCGTCTGGCATACTTTTGAATGAGAGCCGTTTCATGGGTTCTGTATTCCTTTTACTGTGATTTGTGTGCAGGTGTGTGTGTTGAGTGCGTCCATATCGGGAGTGGTGGCACAGTGGTCAGCACCCCTGCGCGACGAGCCCGGTTACCCGAGTCCTATTTCCCGCCACGTCTATAGGTCAATGGAACTGGTGCTGGGCCTCCCCTAGGTTGGCTCGGCCTTCAATAAATTAGTAGTCGGTGCAGTGTGTAAACTTCAACACTGGGGAGACAAAGGCGGCTGGGCGTGGTGCTGGACATACCACTCCCTTGAGTAACGCGCCGGATTTAATAGGTGCTCGCTAACGGCACTTGCCACCACTAACCGGCTGTGTCTTTATGTGTGTGCGTGTTGTGTGGGGAAGCGTGTGATGAAGCCTTTGACTGTGAGTTTAACGATGATAGAAAGCTACCAGCAACACCACAACCACTCCCAACGGTAGCAAAGCCATCCACTGGTTACAGTGCAACCAGGCACGTCAATCCACTGCAGGATGGGGCTTCCCCATGCTATCAGAGTTACAGGGGTCATTTGACCAAATTTCATCATGCTGGTCATGAGGATGAGGCCGGGAGGGAGGGAGGGGAGGGGAGGAGGTTGATAAGGAGGTCGTGGAGTGGGTGGAGGAGGAGGTGGTGGAGGGGGCGGAGGAAGGGGAGCAAGTGGATGAAGCAGGGGAGGAGACGAATGAAGTGGAGGAAGATGAGGAGGGAGAGGGTGAAGATGAGGAGGGAGAGGGTGAAGATGAGGAGGGAGAGGGTGAAGATGAGGAGGGAGAGGGTGAAGATGATGAGGGAGAGGGTGAAGATGAGGAGGGAGAGGGTGAAGATGAGGAGGGAGAGGGTGAAGATGAGGAGGGAGAGGGTGAAGATGAGGAGGGAGAGGGTGAAGATGAGGAGGGAGAGGGTGAGGGTGAAGATAAGAGGGAGGAATGGTGGTGGGGGGGTGGGGGAGAGGTTTTTAGAAAGAGGTGGAAGGGACGGATGAGGAAAAGGAGAGGGGTGAGGAGGAGCAGGAGGGATGAGGAGGTGGAGGTCGTGGAGAGTGTGGCGTGGGAACGGCGATGCGCGTCACCGGCTCCGCGTGTTTGCACACCGAGCGGGGATGGGAGGAGAGGCAGCTGTTGGCGGTTTCCACGGCCACCGTCCCCGTTCGTCTGTCGCTCACGGGGCTTCTCACTCGTAGGGCAGAACACTCCGCGCGTTCTTCTCAGCCCAAGTCCCATTATTGCCTGGGGGTCGCGAACTATTATCTTAATTCTCTATTCCCTTCCGTTGTGTCCCGAGGAATAATTGGGGGGGTTAGGTTGCGGGCTCAAACAGAATTTCTCAACTTGGGCCCCCAATAGGCCAGCCCAGCCCCCCCCCCCCCCGTCCACCACTGCCCCCCAGAGAGTGGTTGTGTTTCCACTGGGAATTGGCGCTGGTTCTGTGCCAGTGGCTTGGCATGTGGCAGTGGTGCATTCCAAACTGATTTGAGCTCTGTGTGCCAGCGTAGTCCGAGTTGAGTGTGTGGGGAGCGGAGACGCGGCGGCTCATTTACCATGCACTGCGCTACAAAGCTGGCTACAAGCCGAAGTTCGAATCCAGTTCACGGCTACCAACACCGATGACGATCATCTGAACTGGTCCCAGGCCTCCTCTAGGTCAACTCAGCTTCAAATCAGTATGTGGTACGATGTGGGAACATCACCACTAGGGTGACATGTGGCCGGGCATGGTGCTGGACACTCACCCCCTCGTGTGCCATGCCGGCCTTCGTAGGTGCTCGCTAACAGCACTTGTCCCACCAGTCTGTTAAGGCTACATGGGGGATCTTTGTCCTGTTTGTTTTTTGTATTCGTACAAATTATTAACGATTCGTCCGCGTATGAATATTTGACTGTGTTTTGGCTAATAAAAAACAGGTCTGTGTGTTTTTTTTACATGTTTTATAAGCTTAATTGATTGTGTGAAGTTTTACGACGAGTCTGGTGTGTGACACTGGTTTTGTAGAGTTTACACTGAATAATAAATGTGTGAATAATCAGGTGAGAGTCAAATAATTTTGTATTTATTTCCACCATAATTCCGATTCCATTTCACAGTCGATTATAAAATTGGGTCATGTCTGTGTGCCCACCTTCCATGATGGACGTGTAAACATTTTTTTATTTTACCAGGTAAGGCCCACTGAGCTATGTAGCTCATTTTCAGAAGCGACATGGCTATCACAAATAAAAGCTCTACGAAGTGGCTTATCGTGTGGAAATATATAGCAGTCACATACTCTAAACGAATGTTGATTGTTAATGTGGAAGGGAAAAGCGGAGGATCCGGAGAAAAATCGATGCGACCACGGGGAGAGAGACGTACAAATTTCAAATATACAGGTAACGTCAGGGTTGTGATCGAATCCACGACCTGCATACCAGGCGAGGAAGTAAACATTGTACAATAGTCACCATGACCCACACTGCATGGGGAGGCACTCTTCCAGCAGTGGATTTACAAATGCGCTGTACATGTACAGCACTGTCCATGATGGGTATGTGGCCGTTAAACTGATGCAAGAGGTCACGCGCATTGCTGATGAGTCGGAGAACTTGAAACTGGTCCACGGTTGTCTTACGACTACAGGGCCACCCAATAGACATTGAACCATTCTGGCGAGACCTTTCTTCATGGTGACTCCCAATGCGACTGAAGCCGATGCATTTGCTCGTCACAATTATACCGTATCGGCAAATAATCTGGGGAAACAGGTTTGCGAAATCGTAGCCATGAGCCAATGGACTAACCGATGATCGTATTGCAAAGGTTGAACAATCCTGCTGCAGGTTTCTCAAATCCCTCCCCCACCCACCCCCTCTGTTCACCCAGCAGTATAAAATAAAAGTCCCTCCTTCGGTAGCGTGCGGTGGCTTAAAGTGTGGGTACTGACACCGTATATGGCACGTGGGGAAGAGTAGGCCAAAATGTCCTCTTGAGTACAGTGATTCTTCGTAAACCTGGGGTGCATGCGAGATGCCCTTTCTGGGTGAGATGTGGCCAGATTTTATTTTACACGCTTTTATTTAACTCACTCTGTTGTCGTATCTTCAAATCTTGCAACTCAATTTTAACCCAATTCCCAATGTATCGACTGTAAACTTGGTATACGTATGTCATACTGATGACGATACTATATTCTCACGTGGACTGTCGCTCGCCTGCGGTCGCTCGCGTGGATTGTCGCACACGTGGACTGTCGGTCGCGTGGATTGTCGGTCGGGTTAACTGTCGCTCGCTCGCGTGGACTGTCGCTCGTGTGGACTGTCGCTCGTGTGGACTGTCGCTCGCTCGTGTGGACTGTCAGTCGCTCACGTGGACTGTCAGTCGCTCGCGTGGACTGTCAGTCGCTCGCGTGGACTGTCAGTCGCTCGCGTGGACTGTCAGTCGCTCGCGTGGACTGTCGCACACGTGGACTGTCAGTCGCTCACGTGGACTGTCGCTCGCTCGTGTGGACTGTCGCTCGCGTGGACTGTCAGTCGCTCGCGTGGACTGTCAGTCGCTCGCGTGGACTGTCGCACACGTGGACTGTCAGTCGCGTGGACTGTCGCTCGCTCGCGTGGACTGTCAGTCGCTCGCGTGGACTGTCGCTCGCGTGGACTGTCAGTCGCTCACGTGGACTGTCGCTCGCTCGCGTGGACTGTCGCTCGCGTGGACTGTCAGTCGCTCGCGTGGACTGTCAGTCGCTCGCGTGGACTGTCGCTCACGTGGACTGTCGCTCACGTGGACTGTCGCTCACGTGGACTGTCGCTCGCGTGGACTGTCAGTCGCTCGCGTGAACTGTCGCTCGCTCGCGTGGACTGTCGCTCGCGTGGACTGTCAGTCGCTCGCGTGGACTGTCGCTCGCGTGGACTGTCGCTCGCTCGCGTGGACTGTCGCTCGCGTGGACTGTCAGTCGCTCGCGTGGACTGTCAGTGGCTCGCGTGGACTGTCGCTCGCGTGGACTGTCGCTCGCTCGCGTGGACTGTCGCTCGCGTGGACTGTCGCTCGCTCGCGTGGACTGTCGCTCGCGTGGACTGTCGCTCGCGTGGACTGTCGCTCGCGTGGACTGTCAGTCGCTCACGTGGACTGTCGCTCGCTCGCGTGGACTGTCGCTCGCGTGGACTGGATTATTGGGAGACGCTATAACGACTTTGGAAAAGGGCGACGCTTCATCCAATTTGTACTCCTGTACTTCATTTTTGTTCATACATTTTTCGTGGCTTGCTTACCTGTTCTCTACTTTGCACTCGGTGTTGTTGTCGTAACTTTCTGAACCTCTTTTTTTTACTGGACATCTGTGAAAAAGAGATTTGTAGCTCATCGGATTCCTTCTTCCCAGGGATGAATAAAGATTCTGATCGCTGATGATGACAGCCGATGGAGTGCCGCCACCCCTCCCTCCTTTCCACTATTCCAGGCGGTGCATCCCCCCTCCGATTCCTGCACCAAAAATTAATTATTGAGTCACGACTCCAACCAAGGGCCGATTCCCTTCAATGTCGTCTGCGCCTCGATTGTCAATGACAGTACGAGCGAATCACAGAATGCATTGGCCCAGCTTGGTATAATTAGAACATCAGCAGAAGCAGCCATGGTCAATCCACTGCTGGATGGACCTGAAAACTCGATTTCCCTGTACAAGAATACGGGGTAAACCCTGTGGGTTAACAACTATGTGATTATGTCCTTCTCCCGAATGTGTGCTCTCGAATCCACGTGTTCCTCTTTCTCTCTGTCAGTGGTAAATCCAAGCGCGCGTCTCCCTTGCTCCTATGCGGACTTCTCGGTTCTTGTTTCCATATTCGTGTTCTCGTTTTTGTTAATGGCCACGTGTTTCTTTGACCACGTCAGAATGAGAATCCGTATTTAGATTGGAAGAACTCGATGAGCTATGAAGCTCTTTTCACACACGTGTCTTTTTCACGTGTCAAGAGATATAGATCAGAAACAGAATATTTATTTCTACTGCAGGAGGAATCCGATGAGCTATGAAGCTCTCTAGTCACAGATGTCCAGTAAGGGCACGGGGTAAGGGGCCGTCCATAAATGACGTCACGCGATTTTGGACGATTTTTTACCCCCCCCCCCCGTCGTCACAAATTCAGACCCCCCCTTCAAATATGACGTCACGGCTCTGCCCCCCCCCCCAAATAAAACATGCTTCAAATCGCTTTAAACTATTGTCATTGTAGTGCGTATTTAATGTGGCGCTGCACTCTGATGTAGGAGAAAACATTTATTAAAAAGTCTAATTAAGTAGAACGTGTTATCTATATTTATTTAAAGTTGCGCATTTTGATGTGACGTCACATTTCTCAACCCCCCCCCCCCTCTCGTGGCCTCGTCACACATCGTCACAAAGGTCTGACCCCCCCCCCCAAGTGCGTGACGTCATATATGGACGGCCCCTAAGAACGTTACAACAAACAGTACAAGAACACGAATGTAGTGTAAAGTACAAGCAAGGTAAACATATAACCCAGTCACATACAAATGTAAATAAACCATCCCTATCTTAACCAGGCAAAGCCCACCGAGGTATGAACTTATTTTTCAGAAGATGCCTGTCTACCACAAATGATGGCAGCTCAAAAGTGGCCCATAATTTGGGCGCTGATTGAAATAATTCTCATTTTCGACACACTTGCTGTTCCTGCATTTCGTTATGAAGAGCTCCATAGCTTCTCAAAGACGAAGGTAATTTGCAAACCCATTGGCTATCAACAAAGATTCGTTCATGAAGCCATCCATATATACAGACATAGACACAATTTCAACCGAGAAGATGGGTACAAACTCAGCAATCACTGGAAGGACGTTATCAACCAGTTTAAGTCATAACTGGCTGTAATGTTTCCGTTTTAGACCTGGCAGCCCTTTAATTGATGGAAGCCAACCACCAGGACCATCACTGCCCACTACTACCATCACCACTAGCAGTAGCCCTTTATTAGTGGTAGCCCACCACCAGTACCATCACTGCCCACTACTACCATCACCACTAGCAGTAGCCCTTGATTGGTGGAAGCCCACCACCAGTACCATCACTACCCACTACAACCATCACCACTAGCAGTAGCCCTTTATTAGTGGTAGCCCACCACCAGTACCATCACTACCCACTACAACCATCACCACTAGCAGTAGCCCTTTATTAGTGGTAGCCCACCACCGGGACCATCACTACCCACTACTACCATCACCATTAGCAGCAACCTCCACCGTCAACAGTGTGTGTAAAGCGAGGTGCAATGATTACCTGATGGGGGGGAGGGGGGTGCGTCTTATAATTCGGTTGGCGTGTCTTATAATCCGGTTGGCGTGTCTTATAATCCGGTTGGCGTGTAAGTGACCATATTTTGTACAACTTTATTAACATAGGGCATACGTTTGATGGGGGGGGTGGTGCGTCTTATAATCCGGTTGTCGTGTGTAAGTGACCAGATTTTGTACAACTTTATTGACATTGGGGCACACGTTTGATGGAGGGGTGCGTCTTATAATCTGGTTGCCGTGTGTAAGTGACCAGATTTTGTACAACTTTATTAACATAGGGCATACGTTTGGTGGGCGGGATGGGATGTGCGGATGTGGAGGTGGGGGTTCTTATAATCCGCACCTGAGGCGGATAACAAAATAATCATGACGAGAGTAATCGATGCCGGCTCCTGATCGAACGTCGCGTCCGCGCTGGGGAATCTCATTGCGGGGCCCTGGGCTTGAGGCGCGCGCGTGTGTGCGCGCCGAGGCTGTAAATTTTGCTCTTTTTTTTGACGCGCTCTTGTAAGCGAGTGTCAAAACATTTTGACTAAAAACAACGCGGTGCAATCCAATCGCTGATTTATTAAGACCCTTTCGCATCGCGAGTGGCCGCGTGGCGTGAGGCGCGGCTTGAGCCCTCGATTGCATCGTCGGCGGTTTTACGGCCGCGGCGGCGGCGGTGGTGGTGGTGGTGAGGGGGGGGGGGTGCGACCTCGGCCCGCAGTCGCGCTAGGCAAGACCGTGGGCTGCACCCCCCCCTCCTCGTTCCGACCAGGCCGCAATGGGGGACCGCTGCAGCTGATATCATCTGCTTATTTAAAGCGATATTTATTTTGTAAACATTTCCACCACCGCGTATTTCCCCCAACGGCGCTCAACACGGTAAGTGCATTCGTCTGCTCCGAGCTTCGCTGCTGGTCGTGGATGCTTTTGTTTGTTTACTGTTGCGCGTGAAACCGGGTTTTTTTTCCCCCGTCGTAACCTCCAATGCTAGATTGCAGTTCGCCGCCGCTCGCGGATCGAGCAAGAAGGTGGGAAAACAACAGGAGACTTGATAATTAATCTGTGGGCAGTCGTGCGAATTGTGATGATGATGATGATAATAATGCGGGGCTGCCCCGGTTAAGAAGAGTGAGCGGGCCGGAAGAATTTGTTTCAGTAGCGCCGACTCGGATAACGGACCGCAGGAATTCACGGGGAGGGAGGAGGCGTCCGACGATGAGCCGAGAGGGATACTCGGACAAGGGGCATCTCGTACCGTGGGTTTTTTTTTTTTAAATGTTTGCACGTTCGTTCGTGCAACAGTGATTGGGAAGCCGGATTCGTAACAGATTTGTCGTGATATAGTGGCAGAGCGGCGAGACCCGTTATTCCCGCGTGGCTGGTTGAACGTTAACGAGATTGCTCGGCTGTACGTGCCAGCACAACATTTAGGATCGGATAAACACTCATTCATCAATTACCAGCCGCCTCTGGTTTGGTATTTTAAACTATTTACTCCCGGGTTCTAATCATGTTATTATTTAAAATTCGCGATTGCTGAGCCGCAGACCCAATAGCCCCCCCCCCCCCACAAAAAAAACGACGCGCGTCCAGCAACTAACAGCACCCATTGAAGGTAGAAACGCCGGTTCCTAGCGACTTAATAGGGGGCGCCTCGCGCCGCGCGCCCCGCGGGCTCCTCGCGCCGTGCGCCCCGCGGGCTCTGTGAGAGATCTCTCGGGCGAGTCAACTGGGCAACCCCCTCCCCCGCCCACCCCCCGTGGGCCCTTCCACCGCCGTTCTTGGCGAGTCTCACGCCTCCCACGGGCTCGGCAATCTCACGGCCCTCCTCGCGACCCCCCCCCCCCACACACACACACCGAGAGAGGGGACAGAGACGGAGGAGGAGGAGGAAGAGGGGCTGCTGTAAGGTGGAGGAGCGCCGTCGATGGACATGGCGAACCACGCCGCCGGCGTGGGGAGACGCAGAGCCTCCGTCAAGGACCGATTCTCTGCCGAGGACGAGGCGCTGAGCCAGATCGCCCGAGAGGTAGCCCCCTAACACCACCGCGTGGTGTGCACGTGGTGTGCGCGCGCGTCTCTCGCTGACTGTCTTGTCTCTCTGTCCGATTCTCGCTCACGAGACGATAACGGTGGCGGGTGTGTATATGAAGCGTGTCCTCGTGGGCCTCCTCTAGGTTGACTCGGCCTCAAGTGAGTAGCTGGTGTCATGTGTAAACATCGGGAAACGGAGGTGGCCGGGCGTGGTGATAGCGACCCACTACTTCGCTAGGATCTTTGTCTTTGTTGTCGAGAGGCTGCGTGTCTCATGCGTGTCCTGTATCTCTGTGTCTGCATGTATCTTTGCTGTGTCTTTGTAGCCACTTTTTCCCTTTTGTGTCTCTTGCGTTTCTGTGTCACGTGTGGCTACGTCTCTGTCTGCGTGCGCCATGTGTCTCTGCGCATCCCTTGTCTCTGTGTCCCATGTGTCTCATGCGTCTCATGCGTAGACTGTGTCCCTCTTGTCCCCCTATGGTTCCTGTCTCCATACTCATGTCTTGTTCCTTTTTTCTCCGCGTCCCTGTCTCATCATGTTTGTCCCTTCTGCCTGTCATTATTATGTCCCGGTGTCTTTGTATGCTCCCCATATCTGTTTGCCTCTTCCTTCTCGCTGGGTCCCCTTGCCCCACGTATGTATGTGTATGTATGTTGAACTTCTTTCCCACCATACATAGCCAAAAGTGTTCTAATCGGAGGTGCATCACTGGGTCCCTTTTTCTATGTGCCTTTGCGTCCCAATGTCCCCAAGTGTCCACGTCCCCAAGTGTCCACGTCCCCATGTCCGTGCGTCCCAACGTCCGTGTCCCTCTGTCCCATTGGCGCGTGTCCCTGTGTTCACGTCTCCTCGCATTCCCCGTGTCTCCCTAACCCTCCTGGTGAACCGCATGAGTTGATCGCGCAGCGCCCGTTTGGCTGACTCCTCTACTTGAATGGGGGTCCATTGACGCAACCACGTGCACCCAGCAAGGAGAAATACCTCCTCGGCGCTGGTGGGGGGGCGGGGGGGTAAATAAACAGAGCTGGGCCTCCATTTATGTATGAGCCACGAAATCGGCTCTTGCCAGGCGGATTGTTCCATCGCAAAGCCGCGAAGAGATGGTGACGACGAGGGGGGGGCCTTCATCCAGCAGTGGATCAATCACGGCCGCTGACGATGACGACGACGCTATGCATGCGCTGTTATTTTTCCACGCTATTTAGCCCCCCCCCCACCCTTCTCTTCACCTCCACTCCTCCCCTGCTGTGTCCGCCTCTGACCCGGCCCGGCCCGGCCCTCCTCTGCAGGGATAGAAACACGAGCGCACGGAGAGTTTTAACACTCGCTGCATTGTTCTACCCGTCGCCACCGCCACCGCCAATGCCTTCTGTCCACGCACGTGGAAGCCTCGCTCGGACCAGGGCCTAGAGGCCCAGGGGCGGACTGCGGGCAGTGACGCTGGGGGCTCACGAAATTAGCGATGCGTTACGTAAATAAAGGCAGTGTTTTGCGGTCGGCACGCTGGACTTGTAACCCAGATGTCGTCGGTTAGATTCCGTCTCCCGGCGCGGCAGTTGAAGCGTCTGTGAAAAAGAGCTCTGTAGCTCATTGGATTCCTCCAGTATAAATAAATATTCTGATTCTGAAAAAATGTCGCAAGTTTCTTCAGTCTGCCAACCCCTCCCACCACCACCTCTGTCCACCCAGTGCCAGTGGTGTGAATGGCTAACGGCACAGTTAAGTCGGTCGGCAGGTTCACGTGTGGTGGGTACTCCCACCTCTACCAACAACTTTGACCAGCGTGGAAGAGTAGGCCAAGCAACCTTTAGAGAGGGGCTCTTCAGTGCTCCCTCTAGTGTGGAGGCCCTTCTGCTAGCAGTGGTGTGATGCAAGCAGTAACAGGGCTGCACCTTTTTTCTGAAGCTAGCGTAGGCACGAGCAATAGCCTCCACTTTTCAAACTCGACGGTCTGTTGGTCGCTCACTGAACCGGATTATTAAACTTGTTTATGAACCGGGTATTGAGCTCATCGTTCTGTCACTGAACCACGCATTTGAAGTTGTAGCTTGGGTCACTCGCTGAACAACAAATCTGTAGCCATCGCTTACCCAATGAATTTGGTGTTAAACCATCACCCTGTCGTTGGTATTGAACTCATCGCTGTGCCGCCGAACGACTCCTGTTCGAGTCCTGGGAGGGGAAAGGAGGAGGCAGTGATTCTGTGGCGTCGACGTTGACGTTGGGAAAATTGAGAATCGGTGATGCGGTAAAGCCGGGGTGGTCGCTGACGATGATCTACACAGCTTCAAACTCAACAGCTTGTCACCCCGCTCACTGAACCAGACATCACTCACTGAAGGTGTTGAACTTATAACTGTCTCGCAAAGAATGGTGTTTCGCATCATCGCCATCATCACTGTTATCACAACGGCCAACTTCACTGCCCTCGTCATCATCATTAACATCGGCACCATCATTATCACTAACATCAGTGCTATCATTAACAGCAGTTCCATGATCATTAACGTCGGCACCACTACCATTAACATCAACGCTACCGTCATTAACAGCAGTGCCATGATCGTTAACATCGGCACCACCATCGCATGGCTGTTGTGCATTCAGCTCTCCGACCCTCATCTCACCGCAGCGTCGCTTTGGCATCAGAAGCACTTACGCTGCGGTCACATGAGCGGGTTTTTTTTCTCTTCTACTCATTACAGTTGGCGTTCACAATTGAGTGTGAAAAGTGAGGTCATTGTTTGCTCGCCGCAAAACACGGGGACAGGCGGCCAGGCGGCCGCTGGTGGCTACGCCTTCTGCACGCGGCCTCCAACCCATTCGCTGTGGAGGCAGTGGCAAGGGTTGGCGGATCGCACACCGATGTTGCGAAGCTCGCTTCTCGCGGGTGGGCGTCGAGGAGGTTTTTGGTTTTTTTGGAGTGCAATTGCGAATAGCCATGAGAGACACGAGTACATCCATCGAATCGGCATCGTCAGTGGCTCACTGCAGCTCAAAGACTCAGTCCCTGCAAGGCGTGCGGTGAAGTCAGGAGATGTCCCATGTGTGTGCGCTCGGCATTTGAAGGCCTGAAGACCATAATCGGTGATTTCGCCAGCAATGTGTTCAGGTAGGCAGTTCCATATCCGGGCAGCAGAGTGAAGAAGGGAGCTTTCTGTCAGGGAGCATGTCCTGGCATACCCTGGCTTGCCATGAAAAAGTGGAACGGCAAAGTGTGGACTAATCCCCATCTGTCCCGTCTGTGTGGGATAGAGTGTTGCCCCCTCGCTTGTGTGGGCTTTTTTCTCCAAGCGCCCCGGTTTAAATAGTAACATTAGGTTTTGTATCGCGTTGTTGTCGATGCAAATTGTATCTCACAAGGGGCGAGGAGAGAGAAAGAAAGAGAGGCTGAAGAGTGGAGCTCTGTGTGCAGGCTGTAGAGTGGAGCTCTGTGTGCAGGCTGTAGAGTGGAGCTCTGTGTGCAGGCTGTAGAGTTGAGCTCTGTGTGTAGGCTGTAGCGTGGAGCTTTGCATGCAATTGCAGCGTGGAGCTCTGTGCAGGCTGTAGAGTGGAGCTCTGCGTGCAGGCTGTAGAGTGGAGCTCTGTGTGTAGGCTGTAGCATGTAACTCTGCGTGCAGGCTGTAGGGTGGAGCTCTTTGTGTAGAGTGGGTGTTGAGCTCTATGCCTGGCCTGTGCTGAGCTCCCCTCCTCGCTGCGTGCGGTCGCGCTCTTTGCACTCGCAGGCCGTTTACCAGTGGAAAATGTGTGCTCATGGGGAGCATGCCTCTAGCAGTGGGCGGCCAAGACACCCTCCTCCTTTTTCTCCTTCTCCTCCTCCTGCACGCTTGCACGCACGCACACGAGGCCAGCGCGGAAACCGTGGCGCCGGCGAACCGACGCTGCACGGTGCGGAAAGATATCGCGCCCGGTCAGGGTGACCCGCGACCCTCACTGACCTTCAACCTGACCAGGGTCGCCCACGACCCTGACTTGAGCGGCGACCGGCGACGACCGGTGGTGACCGTGCCGACGCGTCTGCGCTGTCCCGCGTGCAGGCCGAGGCGAGGCTGGCGGCGAAGCGAGCGGCGCGCGCGGAGGCACGGGAGTTCCGCATGCGGGACCTGGAGAAGCAGCAGAAGGAGGTGCGGAGCAGCGGAGCGCACGCACGCACGAACACACGCACGAACACACGCACGAACACACGCACGAACACACGCACGAACACACGCACGAACACACGCACGAACACACGCACGAACACACGCACGAACACACGCGCACGCACGAGGGTGTACGTACACACCAGGGTACAGGCATTCACACACACACGCGCGTGCGGGTGTCCACGCACACCAGGGTACAGGCATTCACGCACGTGGGTGTACGTGCACACCAGGGTACCCGCATTCGCACACGCACGTACGCGGGTGTACGTACGCACCAGCGTACACGCTCATGTACAAGATTCCCCGTATTGCCCTAACAGACTGTTTGGGCAAGTGCTGTTAGCGAGTAGCAGCACCTATGAAGGCCGGCACGGCACGCAAGAGGGTTGGTGGCCAGCACCACGCCCGACCGCCTTTGTCTCCTCGGTGGCGATGATTTACACGCGGCACCCGGGCACTAAACGTCGGTGGCATCGGCTCGCCGCCTGGGCTGCCTTTCAGCTCGTGTCTCTGTGATTCCGCGAGATGCAACTACGCATCGGTGATGGCGATTAGACGCTTTGCACGAGACTGCTACGCCGTTTCATTCGGTCAATTAGCAAGTTTCAAAACTCGTGTTCTGGGGCAGCCCCCCCCCCCCCGACCCCCAGGTCACTCAGCCTGGGTGTTGGAGCCATAGGATGAGAACCGTTTTTCCTTTTGCTTTGCGCCCTCTTTGTTTTAACCGCTGTGCTCCTGCCGTGGCCTTTTCCGAAGTCGCTGCTGAAGCTCGTAACCTGAAAGACCCTGTCTCCGTGTCTTCTCTCTTTTAACGCTCTTCACACACTCCTGCTCTTCCTTGTCTACCCTCCATCAGATGTTCCAGGTGCAAAAGGTAACTGTGTCGTTATCTTGGTCTGTGCTGGCTAGGCAGGTTTATCTGTGTTGGCTATGAGGGTTTATCTGTGTTGGCTATGAGGGTTTATCTGTGTTGGCTATGAGGGTTTATCTGTGTTGGCTATGAGGGTTTGTCTGTGTTGGCTATGAGGGGTTATCTGTGTTGGCTATGAGGGTTTATCTGTGTTTGCTCGGTGGGTTTATCTGCGTTGGCTATGTGGGTTTATCTGTGTTAGCTGTGAAGGTTTATCTGTGTTGGCTATGATGGTTTATCTGTGTTGGCTGTGAAGGTTTATCTGTGTTAGCTATGAGGGTTTATCTGTGTTGGCTATGAAGGTTTGTCTGTGTTGACTATGAGGGTTTATCTGTGTTAGCTATGAGGGTTTATCTGTGTTGGCTATGAGGGTTTATCTGTGTTGACTATGAGGGTTTATCTGTGTTGGCTATGAGGGTTTATCAGTGTTGGCTATGAGGGTGTATCTGTGTTGGCTATGAGGGTTTATCTCTGTTGGCTATGTGGGTTTGTCTGTGTTGGCTATGAGGGTTTATCTGTGTTAGCTATGAGGGTGTATCTGTGTTGGCTATGAGGGTTTATATGTGTTGGCTATGAGGGTTTATCTGTGTTAGCTATGAGGGTTTATCTGTGTTGGCTATGAGGGTTTATCTGTGTTGGCTATGAGGGTTTATCTGTGTTAGCTATGAGGGTTTATCTGTGTTGGCTATGAGGGTTTATATGTGTTGGCTAGATGGGTTTAACTGTGTTGGCTATGAGGGTTTATCAGTGTTGGCTATGAGGGTTTATATGTGTTGGCTATGAGGGTTTATATGTGTTGGCTAGATGGGTTTAACTGTGTTGGCTATGAGGGTTTATCTGTGTTGGCTATGAGGGTTTGTCTGTGTTGGCTATGAGGGGTTTATCTGTGTTGGCTATGAGGGTTTATCAGTGTTGGCTATGAGGGGTTATCTGCGTTAGCTCGATTGGTTTATCAAGAGGTGAAGTGTTGGTAATCCCGGTCTTGGCTGTGTCGTCACGTTTGCCCTGTGCACCGCTCCAGCGTTTGTGTCTCGCGTGTCCGCTGGCCGCGTCGCCTTTCGTTGCGCGTCACGTGGGTTACGCTCACGGACAGTGGCGTCAAACCGAGCAGCTCTTGTGTGTGCTGCGGGTGTGCTCTGTACTTTTGGGTGCTTCAGAAATAGAAAATAGCCAGACTCAAACTTACTCTACCTAAATAGTTTCCAAAGCGGCTTCAACATCGCGACGAACGCTTGTGTTGTGTCTGTGCTTGTGTTGTGTTGTGTCGCACTGTGGTGTTTGTGTTGTGTCTGTGCTTGTGTGTTGTGTTGTGTCGCGTTGTACTGCTTGTGTTGTGTCTGTGCTTGTGTTGTGTCTGTGCTTGTGTTGTGTCTGTGTTGTGTCTGTGTTGTGTCTGTGCTTGTGTTGTGTCGCGTTGTGGTGTTTGTGTTGTGTCTGTGCTTGTGTGTTGTGTCGCGTTGTGGTGTTTGTGTTGTGTCTGTGCTTGTGTGTTTTGTGTCGCGTTGTGGTGTTTGTGTTGTTTCTGCGCTCGTGTGTGTTGTGTCTGTGTTGTGTCTGTGCTTGTGTTGTGTCGCGTTGTGGTGTTTGTGTTGTGTCTGTGCTTGTGTGTTGTGTTGTGTCGCGTTGTGGTGTTTGTGTTATGTCTGTGCTTGTGTGTGTTGTGGTGTTTGTGTTGTGTCTGTGCTCGTGTGTGCTCGTGTGTGTTGTGTTTGTGTTGTGTCTGTGCTTGTGTGTGTTGTGTCGCGTTGTGGTGTTTGTGTTGTGTCTGTGCTCGTGTGTTGTGTTGTGGTGTTTGTGTTGTGTCTGTGCTCGTGTGTTGTGTTGTGGTGTTTGTGTTGTGTCTGTGCTCGTGTGTGTTGTGTTTGTGTTGTGTCTGTGCTTGTGTGTGTTGTGGTGTTTGTGTTGTGTCTGTGCTCGTGTGTTGTGGTGTTTGTGTTGTGTCTGTGCTCGTGTGTGTTGTGTCGCGTTGTGTTGTCTGTGCTCATGTGTGTTGTGGTGTTTGTGTTGTGTCTGTGCTCGCGTGTGGTGTGTCGCGTTGTGGTGTTTGTGTTGTGTCTGTGCTCGTGTGTTGTGTTGTGGTGTTTGTGTTGTGTCTGTGCTCGTGTGTTGTGTTGTGGTGTTTGTGTTTTGTCTGTTCTCGTGTGTGCCATCTCTTGTGTTGTTCGCGCTACGTCATATGTTTTGAGGTCTTTGCGTGTGTGTCGTGTCGGTGAGCGGGTGAAGCTGCATGCGTTTGCCAGTCGCTGTGATTGGATTATTCTCCCTGATGATTTGCATGAGAAATATATATTTTTTTACGTGGAGAGACGAATACGTGGACGAGACGCACTCATGCCCGCTTGTTTATTTTGTGACCTGTGGTCTCCACAACGGCGCTTATGGCTCTTTTTTTGGGTCATTGAGAAATTGATCCTATGCCTGTTGCCCGGCCTCACACTCTGTGTCTCTCCTAGAAACAAGGGCAGGCCGAGTCGAGCTTCGGACACATCCAGCAGTGGATGGTACGGGCGAGGCCGGGAGGGGGGAGCACGCTCCTAGAGAATCGTCGTCCTGGTCGTCATTGTCGGCATTGTCGGCATCCTCTTCATCACCACTGTCATTTTCATCATCATCGCCACCGTCATTGTCACCACCGCCACCACCAAGATCGTCATCGTCACGTCACCGTGGTCACCATCATCATTAGTCAAAATCGTCATCACTTTCACCCTCATCATCACTATCGTCGTCACCGCTGTCGACTTTAAGGACAGCAATTGCAAATCGGCTTTGACCAGGGACTAACTAATGTCACGAGTAAACGAGGCGTGTGCCGCTCGGTCTCTCTCGCCGTGCGCACGCGTGGTGTCATATCATCCCTGTAAGAACCAGGGACAATACAAATTATGCTCACGATACGCAAACATTACCTTTGGGCTAATGGAACAAACGAAGCGTAGGCAGCATCGTCTGCCTCTGCAGTCGCTTGTAAAAGTCAGTCACGTCTATGTGTGCCCACCTTCAACGTGCACTGACCAGCTTGATGGATGTATAAATTAAACACTTTTTACTTTACCAGGTCAGGCCCACTGAGCCAAATGGCTCTTTTTCAAAAGCGACCTCGCCACAAATGATAGCCCAACGAAGTGGCTTATCGTCACGTGGAAATTTATAGCAGCCAAATACTGTAAACGCGTATTTCTAAATGTGGAGGGACAAATCCAGAGGCCCCGGATAAAAATCCACGCGACCACGGGGAGAGAAAGAGAGAGAGAGAGACACGCAAACTCCAAATATACAGCGGGCGTCAGGGTCGGTATCGAACCCACAACCTCCTGGTGTGCGGTGGTTTAGAGACGGCAGAGAAGGGGCCTGCGACTTGGTGTGCACGTAGCCGTCGCGTAACGTTCGGTGGCAACGCGTCGCCTCCACCCGCTCCGAAAGCTCTACAGGACCCTCCTGAAGAGGCGTCTTGAGACTCATTGAGGCTTTTCCCGGGTAAACGAGCGTCATGGTAATAATACAAAAAGATGTATTAATTTTCTTAAAAATTAAATCTAGGCCATGAGTTGTGTGGTGGATGGACCGTTGCGGCTCTGTCGATGCTCGCTAATGCCCTCGACTTGCTCACTCGCTCCCCCCCCCCATCACTCACTTGCTCGCTCGCCCGCTCGCCCGGGCAGGAGGACTCTGAGAGATATTCCCGGAGGCGGCGCTGGGCCACGGTTTGTAACGACGTCCCCTTCTCTACTCCTACGTCACCCCGCGGCCACCACCGCCATCTCCGAGAGCACCAGCTCCATCCTGTTCACTGGTGCCGTGTGTGCCGATTCACGTCCATCTACTCAACCACCACCACCGCCTCCATCCTCATCATCAGTACAGAGCAACCGCCATCTCCTAGTTCACTACAGAACCATCTCCATCTCTTGGTTCACTACAGAGCCACCACCAACTCCATCTCTTAGTTCACTACAGAACCACCACCACCTCCATCTCCTGGTTCACTACAGAACTACCACCAACTCCATCTCTTAGTTCACTACAGAACCACCACCACCTCCATCTCCTGGTTCACTACAGAACTACCACCAACTCCATCTCTTGGTTCAATTCAGAACCTCCATCTCCTTGTTCACTACAGAACCACCACCAACTCCATCTCCTGGTTCACTACAGAACTACCACCAACTCCATCTCTTGGTTCACTTCAGAACCTCCATCTCCTGGTTCACTACAGAACTACCACCAACTCCATCTCTTGGTTCACTTCAGAACCTCCATCTCCTGGTTCACTACAGAACCACCACCAACTCCATCTCTTGGTTCACTTCAGAAACCTCCATCTCCTGGTTCACTACAGAACTACCACCAACTCCATCTCTTGGTTCACTACAGAACCTCCATCTCCTGGTTCACTACAGAACCACCAACAACTCCATCTCTTGTTTCATTTCAGAACCACCACAACCTCCATCTCTTGGTTCACTAAAGAACCTCCATCTCCTGGTTCCCTACAGAACCACCACCAACTCCATCTCTTGGTTCACTACAGAACCACCTCCATCTCCTGGTTCACTACAGAACCACCACCAATTCCATCTCCTGGTTCACTACAGAACCACCTCCATTTCCTGGTTCACTACAGAACCACCACCAACTCCATCTCCTGGTTCACTACAGAACCACCACAACCTCCATCTCTTGGTTCACTACAGAACCACCACAACCTCCATCTCCTGGATCACTACAGAACCACCACCAACTCCATCTCCTGGTTCACTACAGAACCACCACCAACTACATCTCTTGGTTTACTACAGAACCACCACCACCTCCATCTCCTGGTTCACTACAGAACCACCACCAACTCCATCTCTTGGTTCACTAAAGAACCACCTCCATCTCTTGGTTCACTACAGAACCGCCTCCATCTCCTGGTTCACTACAGAACCACCACCAATTCCATCTCCTGGTTCACTACAGAACCACCACCATCTCCTGGTTCACTACAGAACCACCACCACCACTTCCATCTCCTGGTTCACTACAGAACCACCACCAACTCCACCTCCTGGTTCACTACAGAACCACCACCACCTCCATCTCTTGGTTCACTACAGAACCACCTCCATCTCCTGGTTCACTACAGAACCACCACCAACTCCATCTCCTGGTTCACTACAGAACCACCACCACCTCCATCTCTTGGTTCACTACAGAACCACCACCAATTCCATCTCCTGGTTCACTACAGAACCACCTCCATCTCCTGGTTCACTACAGAACCACCACCAACTCCATCTCCTGGTTCACTACAGAACCACCACAACCTCCATCTCTTGGTTCACTACAGAACCACCACAACCTCCATCTCCTGGATCACTACAGAACCACCACCAACTCCATCTCCTGGTTCACTACAGAACCACCACCAACTACATCTCTTGGTTTACTACAGAACCACCACCACCTCCATCTCCTGGTTCACTACAGAACCACCACCAACTCCATCTCTTGGTTCACTAAAGAACCACCTCCATCTCTTGGTTCACTACAGAACCGCCTCCATCTCCTGGTTCACTACAGAACCACCACCAATTCCATCTCCTGGTTCACTACAGAACCACCACCATCTCCTGGTTCACTACAGAACCACCACTTCCATCTCCTGGTTCACTACAGAACCACCTCCATCTCCTGGTTCACTACAGAACCACCACCAACTCCATTTCCTGGTTCACTACAGAACCACCACCTCCATCTCTTGGTTCACTACAGAACCACCACAACCTCCATCTCCTGGATCACTACAGAACCACCACCAACTCCATCTCCTGGTTCACTACAGAACCACCACCAACTACATCTCTTGGTTTACTACAGAACCACCACCACCTCCATCTCCTGGTTCACTACAGAACCACCACCAACTCCATCTCTTGGTTCACTAAAGAACCACCTCCATCTCTTGGTTCACTACAGAACCGCCTCCATCTCCTGGTTCACTACAGAACCACCACCAATTCCATCTCCTGGTTCACTACAGAACCACCACCATCTCCTGGTTCACTACAGAACCACCACTTCCATCTCCTGGTTCACTACAGAACCACCTCCATCTCCTGGTTCACTACAGAACCACCACCAACTCCATTTCCTGGTTCACTACAGAACCACCACCTCCATCTCTTGGTTCACTACAGAACCACCACCACCTCCATCTCTTAGTTCACTACAGAACCACCACCACCTCCATCTCCTGGTTCACTACAGAACCACCACCACCACCTCCATCTCTTGGTTCACTACAGAACCACCACCTCCATCTCCTGGTTCACTACAGAACCACCACCAACTCCATCTCCTGGTTCACTACAGAACCACCTCCATCTCTTGGTTCACTACAGAACCACCACCACCTCCATCTCCTGGTTCACTACAGAACCACCACCAACTCAATCTCCTGATTCACTACAGAACCACCTCCATCTCCTGGTTCACTACAGAACCACCACCAACTCCATCTCCTGGTTCACTACAGAACCACCACCACCTCCATCTCCTGGTTCACTACAGAACCACCACCACCTCCATCTCCTGGTTCACTACAGAACCACCACAACCTCCATCTCTTGGTTCACTACAGAACCACCACCACCTCCATCTCCTGGTTCACTACAGAACCACCACCACCTCCATCTCCTGGTTCACTACAGAACCACCTCCATCTCTTGGTTCACTACAGAACCACCTCCATCTCCTGGTTCACTACAGAACCACCACCACCTCCATCTCTTGGTTCACTACAGAACCACCTCCATCTCCTGGTTCATTACAGAACCACCACCTCCATATCTCCTTGATCCCTATCTCCTAAACCACCACCACTGTCCAAATGACACTGCCCCTTCACCACCACTTCTATCACCCACCCCCCTGCTCCCGCTCCTGCGTCCAACGTTTTGTCTGAGATGCTGCATCGCTGCTCCGGGTTTTGAGTGTTCGTTGCACTCGGCGAGCTGGTGCTGGTGTGCGTGTGTCGCACCGTGTGTGGGGAACCCGTGTGGATGTTTGTGTGCGAGTGTGTCTCATGTCGTGCGTGGGGAACCCGTTGGTGTGTGAGTGCTCGTTGCTCGTAGCGAGCTCGTGCTGGTGTGTGTGTGTGTGTCATGTCATGCATGGGAATCCCGTGTGGCTGTACCGGGTGGGATGGGCATGAGTCACGCCGGAGAGGACATTGTGCATTTAAATCAACACCGCTCTTTATTTTTATATTTCATAACTCATCTGATTCATCGCGGCCTCTTTGCCTCTTTATTTCTGCCCTGGCGCGAGAGTGTGGTCCCGCCTTGCACAACAACGCCCCCATTCACGGCCTGCGAATGTCTCTGATTGTCTGCCCCTGCCCCTCTCCTCCTGTGACTCTCACTCAACCCTAACCCCCCCTTTCTGCCCATGTCCCCGCGCCCGCCCCCCATCCTCCCTGTCTCTGCTCTTGTCTCCTGTACGTCACCCCCTGTCTCCTGTACGTCACCCCCTGTCTCTCCTGTCTCTGTCCCGTGTTTCTCCTCCTGCGGTCGCCTGCAGCCTTCTGAGTGTAGCTTCTACCCGGGCTCGAGCTCCCGGGCCTCTTCCAGGGCCTCGTCACTGAGAGCCAGCCCCGTGGTGAGCAGCGCACGCCACCCATACAGCCAGCCGGTGAGCCAGCCAGTGACTCAGCCGGTGCGTCAGCCAGTGAGCCAGCCCTTGAGCCAACGAGTGAGCTAGCCAGTGAGCCAGCCCGTGAGCCAGTCGGGGGACTAGCCAGTGATGCAGCCAGTAATCCAGCCAGTGAGTCATCCAGTGAGGCAGCTAGTGAGGCAGCTAGTGAGTCAGCCAGTTAACCAGTCAGTGAACCAGCCAGTGAGCCAGCCAGTGAGCCAGCCAGTGAACCAGCCAGTGAGCCAGCCAGTGAGCCAGCCAGTGAGCCAGCAAGTGAGCCAGCCAGTGAACCAGCCAGTGAGCCAGCAAGTGAACCAGCAAGTGAACCAGCCAGTGAGCCAGCCAGTGAGCCAGCCAGTGAGCCAGCAAGTGAACCAGCCACTGAGCCAGCCAGTGAACCAGCCAGTGAGCCAGCCAGTGAGCCAGCCAGTGAGCCAGCAAGTGAACCAGCCACTGAGCCAGCCAGTCAATCGACCAGTCGGTCGATCAGTCGGGCTGACTTCGTGCCGACGTCCGACGGGTCGTGCCGCGCGTTGTGGCCGCACAGTGTCCGACGTTTCGCTGCACATGCCCGGGAGCTGCTTCAGCAACTGACAGTGAGTTGTGATGATAGACCCACCTTCTCAAGTGTCGCGAGTTTGATTGGCCTCAGGCCGAGTCCCCAGTGAGTGCACGAACAAAATAACAGCGCACAACATTCCTTCTCTGCGCTTAATTTGGCTTAATTCCAGCTCTGAAGGTTTTTAGAGCTGTGGTTCTTCTTAACCTGGGGTGCACGCTGCACACCCTGGGGGTGCAAGACTTGGGCAGATTTCTTCAGAAGGTAAATCATCGAAAACAGAAATGAAGCACGGGGCAACGTAAAGTAAAACAACTAACTTTGTTTCATCAGACCCTCTGTATTTCTTAACATGGTACAAAAAAAACTAAAATTAATGCTTGAGAGCCAAAAGGGCTGCAAGGCTGCGGAAACGATTACGAACCACTGATTTTAAAAGTAGCGGTCCGATTGTCACGCCCACGGACGTTCCTGTCGTATCGCAGAGCGGGTAGGAGAGTACCGCCCTCCCCTCCTCTGTGTGTAGGCCAGAGCGTCACTTGACCAAGGGGTTTCATCGGGAGCCCTTGTGAAAGACCCAACGCGGATCCCCTGGGGTTTGACCTTTCACGAGGCTGCTCTTGGTCCACCCCTAAACCGCATCCACTGCACAAACCACGGCACTAGATGCGGATACCCCCTGATGATGATGCGCAGAGAGAAAACTAAACACTTTCCGGTAGGAGTGGTAGTTGCGACTGGTCACCCAGAACTGACCGTAGTGCAACGTGTAGCGACGCAACGCACCGATCCGCGAAGGAGATGCCACGGCGAGGATGATGATGATGATGCACTTACTACTCCGCTGCTCCTCGTGGCACGGTTGTCTGGGCTGGACCTGAATGTGAAATTGTAGTCGTTGCTCTGCATCTACATCGGCAGCACATACGACAAGAATAAGATACTGATTTTTGTGTTTAGTTTGTTGTCCTCGCCCTGCACCTCCGATTGGCTACGTACGGTGCGAAAGAAGTTCAACATGCAGCACACAAGATAGGTAGCTCTGTGCTGTCCGCTTCCGTGGGGCGTTCGTTGGCATGGAGAAGGACCGCGCTACTCAAGAGCACCCCGGTGGATTCCCCGCGCCTCGGCGAGATGCGACGCCGGTCCCGTGACTTCGTGGGAAGAGAGAATGAGTCGCCCCGTTTTTGTGTCGTTTCAGTTGGATGAGAAGAGCGACAGGGAGGGCATGGAGCTCGTCCGGGTAAGAGTGAGCTGACCCGTGTCTCGTCTGTGTGTCTGAGGTGTCTCTGTGTCTCGTGTGGTGGGGAGTGGTGCAGCGGTCAGCGCGCTACGCTGCGCTACGACCCCAGCCGCCCGGGTTCGATTCCCGCTCGCGGCCAACGCCGCTGACGGTTATCTGAACCGGTCCTGGGCCTCCGCTAGGTCGACTCAGCCTCATTTGAGTACCTGGCGCGGTGTGGAGTAAACATCGTCACTGGGAAGACAAAGGCGGCCGGGCACGCTGCTGGCCACCCACCCCCTCATGTGCCGTGCCGGCTTTCATAGGTGCTGCTCGCTAATACCGCTTGCCCCTACAGTCTGTTAAGGCTACACGGGGGAGCTTTGTGCTGTGTGTGTGTGTATGTGTGTGTATGTGTGTGTGTGCGTGCGTAGCCCACCTCGCTGTGCCGCGCTTCCTCGGGCGTCTCGGGGCTGTCGGCCGCCACCCTGGCGTCGCTGGGCAACGGAGGGGGGCCCCGGGGGGGGCCACCCGGCTGGGAGGGGGTGCGGGGGGGGCCCGCGGGTTCCTCGCGGAGGGGCAGCGGCGACACGAGCGCCTCCCTCGAGTCGGAGGCGTGCGTGCGCGAGCTCCGGGTGAGACGGCACGGGGACATGGACGCGGGGGGGCAAGGGAGTTCGGTGGCACAAGGGGACGGTGACACGGGGGAGGAGGGCACGGGGGCACGGAGACACGGGGGTAGAGGGCACGGGGACACGGAGACAATGGCACGGGGACACGGGGGTTGAGTGCACAGGGACATGGAGACACGGGCCAGGGGGACGGGGGGACACGGGGGTAGAGGACACGGGGACACGGGGGGGTAGAGGGCACGGGGACACGGGGACATGGGCAAATGGAGGTGCAGAGGTACAGAGACATGGAGACATGCTTCAGATGATTATTTTTGTGTTATTACATTTGCGAGAAAACTGTGGAGATGGAGCGGTCGTGCACGACCCGCGAGCGTAGGACTCTGGGATATTGTTGGGGTGGGTGGGGGGGGGAGCGGTGCAGGTGCCATGGCGCAGACGTCCGGAGGGAGACGGAATCGCCCCGAGGCCACTCATGAATCGTTAACGTGCGCGCGTGCGTGAATGGAATTGTGGCCGCGCCGGTTGGGGCTTGCGGGGTAGGAAACAAAAAGGAGGAGGCATTCGTTTGTTCTGCCAGATGTTCACCTGAGTTAAAGGGGGTGGCACGCGACCGATGCTTCGTCACTGCAGTGGCAGCAGCAGCAAAAGCAACAGCAGCGTGAGCAGCGTCAGCAGCAGTTACCGTGACCTGAGGAGCGGCAACAGCAGTAGCATCAGCAGCGGCGACGGCTATATCAGCAGCGCTGGCATCGGCGGTTACAACGGAAGCAGCTGTAGCAGGAGCAGCAAGGGCAGCCGTGGCAGCGGTACCAGCAGTCGTGACGGAAGCAGCAGCAGCAGCAGCAGCAGCAGCGGTGAAGCAGCAAACTGTGACACGGCCAGCCCTCGTCTCGACCGAACTCTCTCTCTCTGCCTGCTGCGTGTAGAGTTCCTCACGGCGTAGGGGACCTGTCAAGTGAGGCTCAAGTGAAGGGTTGGCTTCAGGTTTCACGGGTTTTTGTTGTCGCGGTTCCCAAGCAGAATATACATTTACGATCGCGGTCGCGATTAGAATTTGCGCGGCGTGCAAATTTGCGAACGCGGCTCGCGGTGCCGAGCGGACTACCGGGTCGGGAGCGCCGGGAGCGCCGGGAGCGCCGGGAGCGCCGGGAGTGCCGGGAGCCTGGGCTGAGAAAGTCTTAATTTTTCGAAGATGTCGTCGTCCGAGGAGTCTCCGGAACGCGACCTCGCGGTCCGGACCCCCCGACCGGAAGAACCGACCGCGGGGCGTCGTGACAATGGCGAGGAGGTGGAGGTTGAGGTTGAGGAGGAGCGACTGGGAGGCCTTACTCACAATGGCGGTGCTGGTGACGGACGACGTGGCCTTGATAATGGTGGTGGCGATGGCAACGATGTTGGGGGACAGGAAGAGCAGGGGAAGCAAACAGGACCCGACTGTTGCAGTGACGACGATGATGCTGATGGTGGTGATGATCACGATGATGGTGTTGAGGTGGAGCATCGAGGACCTGATTCTGACAAAGAGGGCAACAAAGACGACCATCAACATCATGATGACGGCGGTGGCGATTCTCGTCGTCATCATCACGATGATTTCCACCGTCGAAATGATGAGCAGCGACGATCCAATGAAGGTAGCGACGATGGCGACGATGGTGGTCAACGACATCAACCTTGCCCTTCCAACGAAGATGATGACGGCGGTGGTGGAGATGATGGGGCTGATGATGATGATGATGAAGAGGGTGCTCTCGTCTCTTTGCCACCGCGATCGTCGTCATTGCTGCTTGAGTTCCTTCGAGTCGATATTGATTCCCAGCATGCTGGCTCACTCGGCGCCGCCCAGCACAACATCCCGGACTGTCTGGGCTACTCGCCACACAGCTTACCGGACTCACCACTGCATGACTTAACAGACTTTCTGAGCTACTCGCCACATGGCTTACCAGACTCACCACCGCATGGCTTACCAAACTCTGTGAGCTACTCGCCACACGGCTTACCGGACTCACCACTGCATGGCTTACCGGACTCACCACTGCATGACTTAACAGACTCACCACCGCATGGCTTACCAGACTCTGTGAGCTACTCGCCACACGACTTAACAGACTCAGCACCGCACGGCTTACCAGACTTTCTGAGCTACTCGCCACATGGTTTACCAGACTCACCACTACATGACTTAACAGACTCTCTGGGATACTTGCCACATGGCTTACCGGACTCACCACTGCGCAGCTTACCAGAATCACCACCGCATGGCTTAGCGGACTCACCAGAACCTTCACACATCTTGTCAGATTCTTCACCTCACGGCTTGCCGGACTCGCCACCGCATGGCTTACCAGACTCGTTACTGCCTGGCTTAACAGCCTTACCATACTCCTCACCACAAAGCTTACAGAGCTCATTACCGCATGGCTTACCAGACTCATCACCGCATGGCTTACCAGACTTACCACCAGTTTTAGTGGACTCCACATCACACATCCTGCGGGATTATTCACCACCTGGCTTGCAGAATTTCCCACCGAAGGACTTCTCGGAATCCCTTCGGTTTAGCTCGCCAGACTCATCGCAGCATGGGTCCTCATCGGCCTCCCCCCGGCTTGGCTCATCGGACGACGCCGGAGACGCCGGGGATGCCGGGGCGGACGACTCGGACAAGGACCGGGACTCGGATCACCCGGTGGGGCGCTCGGTCTGGCCGGGCCCACGTGGCTGCCCCGGTCGCGTTCGCCCCCGCCGGCAGGCGGAGGAGCGTTTGCACTACCGCGTCGTCATCTTGCGCCATGCCGCGCTTCTCCGTGGCACGCTTCTCTTCCACTCCCTTTTCCACCGGGGCAAATCCGAGCCGAGCCAGCGCCGTGATAGCACTAAAACGCCGTCATCCGGAGATCTGAATCTGGCCTCGTGAGCCGGCGCCGTGCCCGGCCGAACACGGCGCCGGCACGGTTCGCTCGCACCGTGGGAACGGAGGCATTAGCCCCCCCCCCCCCGCTCCCCCGGTGCGCCGGCTGCCGGTTCAGTTGCTTGGGCCCCGCGGGGTCCCACGGAGAGCAGGGGGCAGAGCAGGGGGGCCGTCGTCATGGCCCCGAGCCAGCGTCGTGTTGACGTGGGACGGGGCCACGCCTGGCTGGCTTGCTCGCTCGCTCACGGTGCGCCGCTCTTAAGGAGGAGGGCGGTGGTGGCGGGGGGTTGGGGTGGGGGGGTTCACCTCTGTGCCAGATGTGCTGGCGGGAGTCCAGCGTTGAAGGAATTGACATCCTTCAGGGGGATTCACGTCCTTCAGAAATGTACATCCTTGGGTTAATTTGTAACCTTGCAGGCCGGCTGGCCCAGCGGTAGAGCACGCGGCTCGTGATCGGAGGGTCGCGAGTTTAAGACCTGGCTGTGTGTTGGTGCTTGACTCAGCCCATCATCTTTCCCTCCGGCGTCATTAAACTACGTACTGTCGACTCTCGATTATGTGAGTGCAGTTTTTCCGATTTGCGGATTAACTGCACACCTGAGATTTTGACGTAAATTAATAACTGGTCGATTTTCCCTTGAGCCCCAAATTAATAATCTAAAAACAGTTATACATTGTTACTCTTGGAAATTGTATTACAAGTCACGTGCTTAACCCGAACAAATATGTCGCGTCTGTTAATTTGAAATCCACGCAATTGCCGCTACAGTACAGTAGTTGCATATCTTTACAACGGTGGGTGGAGTTTGATGTTGATTGGCCTGGCTCTGCTGCTGTCCACTGAGTGGGCCGATCGATCTATCGTGAGTATGCGTTCTAAATCTAAAGAGTAACGATCGAACTCGTCAGTTGTGCTTTGTTTTGAGTGATTTATCCGATCATTTATTTTGTGGGTTGTAATTCACGAAACTGTGCGATGGCAGAGACACTTAAACGTAATTGATTCCTTTATGAGTGTTTTTTGGCATAGAGGTCCGTGGATAATGGTTACATTTTTAGTTCATTATCCACAACCGTCCTCCCGGTCATTAGCGTGGATAATCGAGAGTCTTACTGTGACAATTTGCGTGGAAGTCAGCAGCGGTTTCTCTGAAGGAGAAGCCTCACCCCCCTCCCCCCCCACCATAGCAATGTGGAATTTCCAAGACTGGCTCCGCAGGGCTGGAAACGGCAATTGGGCCTCGGTGCTCATTTGAGCAGGACATCACTTTATTGAAAGGAGTTTACACTCTTTTGCAAATTGGTAATACCGTAAGGTGGAGACGTCTTTCAGCGCTTTGTCATCTTCAGGGCGCTTGTTGCAGAGGTTCACGGTTTGAATCCGGCAGGCTGCCCTGGTTATTACTGCATTGAGAAACAACCGTTAATAATGTGACGCGTCGTCTGCTTCACGTTGGCCATTGAAACCCCATAGACTCGCACATAGATCTATAGATTCACACTGAGACCCATAGACTCACAGAAAGACCCATAGACTGACACAGAAACCCATAGACTCACATGGAGACCCATATACTCTTTGGTTCTATTGGGTAAAGTCACATAGGTGAAAATAAAATAACAAAAAATCAGGACGTTTCGGCCACAACACAAGCGGCCTTCATCAGGTGAAGGGACGAGACTGTCTGGAGGACAGCGCTGGAGACCCATATACTCACACAGAGACCCATAAACTCGCACAGAGCTATATAGATTCACACTGAGACCCATAGACTCACAGAAAGACCCATAGACTCACACCGAGACCCATAGACTCAATAGAGACCCATAGAATAACACAAAGATCTATTCGAAGGAGGGGAGGCATCATCACAGCAGCGGTGATTCACCACTCCGCTATTTCCTCGCGCAGTTATCTGGCTCGCGCGCCACCTCGATGTGAAATTACAGCTGCTGCCCTGCACCAACATGAGCAGCCACGCGACGGAGCAGGCGACCCTCCTTCGTGGCGATCGCCTCGCGACGCTGTACGAACGACAGCGCCAATACCGAGCGCACTCGGCTCGTGACACGACGGCGATGGTGGTGAATGTTTTTAGTATTTATTTTACAGCCCAACGAGCCCGGTGCGATAGCTCCAATCGCAGAACGGAGGGTGGGAACAAAAGCTTCTGCGAACAGCAGCCCGACGGTGATGGCGATTGTTTGATCGGCAACGCGCAGGACTCGCTGGGGGAGGCGGAGGAGCGCTACCGGCGGGCGATGGTGCGCGCCGCGCAGCTGGACAACGAGAAGGTGGCGCTGGCCTACGAGGTGGAGGCGCTGCGCGACGCCCTGGAGGGGGCCGAGGAGTCGCTCGCCCAGGAGCAACGCCGCTGTGAGCAGCACGGACTGGTGAGAGGTGCACTCAGCCCACCCCGCTCCCACCCCTCTCCCTCCCCTCTCCCTCCCCTCTCCCTCCCCTCTCCCACCCCTCTCCCACCACTCTCCCACCCCTCTCCCACCCCTCTCCCTCCACTCTCCCACCCCTCTCCCACCCCTCTCCCTCCACCTCTCCCACCACTCTCCCACCCCTCTCCCCCACCCCTCTCCCCCCCCCACCCCTCTCCCCCCCCACCCCTCTCCCCCCCACCCCTCTCCCCCCACCCCTCTCCCCCACCCCTCCCCCACCCCTCTCCCCCACCCCTCTCCCCCCCACCCTCTCCCCCCACCCCTCTCCCCCCCCACCCCTCTCCCCCCCCCCACCCCTCTCCCCCCCACCCCTCTCCCCCACCCCTCTCCCCACCCCTCTCCCCCCCCACCCCTCTCCCCACCCTCTCCCCCACCCCTCTCCCCCCCCCACCCTCTCCCCCACCCTCCCCACCCCTCTCCCCCCCACCCCTCTCCCCCCCCACCCCTCTCCCCCCCCACCCCTCTCCCCCCCACCCCTCTCCCCCCCACCCACCCTCTCCCCCCCCACCCCTCTCCCCCCCCACACCTCTCCTCCCCCCCACCCCTCTCCCCCCCCACCCCTCTCCCCCCCCACCCCTCTCCCCCCCACCCCTCTCCCCCCCACCCCTCTCCCCCCCCACCCCTCTCCCCCCACCCCTCTCCCCCCACCCCTCTCCCCCCACCCCTCTCCCCCCACCCCTCTCCCCCCACCCCTCTCCCCCACCCCCTCTCCCACCACCCTCTCCCCCCCCACCCCTCTCCCCCCACCCCTCTCCCCCCACCCCTCTCCCCCACCCCTCTCCCCCCACCCTCTCCCCCACCCCTCTCCCCCCACCCCTCTCCCCCCACCCCTCTCCCCCCACCCCTCTCCCCCCACCCCTCTCCCCCACCCCTCGCCCCCCACACCCTCTCCCCCCACCCTCTCTCCCCCCACCCCTCTCCCCCCACCCCTCTCCCCCCACCCCTCTCCCCCCCCCACCCCTCTCCCCCCACCCCCTCTCCCCCACCCCTCTCCCCCACCCCTCTCCCCCCACCCCTCTCCCCCACCACCTCTCCCCCCACCCCTCTCCCCCCACCCCTCTCCCCCCACCCCTCTCCCCCCACCCCTCTCCCCCCACCCCTCTCCCCAACCCCTCTCCCCCCCCACCCCTCTCCCCCCCCCCACCCCTCTCCCCCCCCACCCCTCTCCCCCCCCCACCCCTCTCCCCCCCCCACCCCTCTCCCCCCCCCCACCCCTCTCCCCCCCCCACCCCTCTCCCCCCCCACCCCTCTCCCCCCCCCACCCCTCTCCCCCCCCACCCCTCTCCCCCCCACCCTCTCCCCCCCCCACCCCTCTCCCCCCCCCACCCCTCTCCCCCCCCCACCCCTCTCCCCCCCCACCCCTCCTCCCCCCCCACCCCTCTCCCCCCCCCACCCCTCTCCCCACCCCTCTCCCCCACCCCTCTCCCCCCCCACACCCTCTCCCCCCCACCCTCTCCCCCCACCCCTCTCCCCCCCCCCCCACCCCTCTCCCCCCCCCACCCCTCTCCCCCCCCCACCCCTCTCCCCCCCCCCCACCCCTCTCCCCCCCCACCCCTCTCCCCCCCCCCCCCCTCTCCCCCCACCCCTCTCCCCACCCCTCTCCCTCCCCTCTCCCACCCCTCTCCCTCCCCTCTCCCACCCCTCTCCCACCCCTCTCCCACCCCTCCCCACCCCTCTCCTCCCCTCTCCCACCCCTCTCCCTCCCCTCTCCCACCCCTCTCCCTCCCTCTCCCACCCCTCTCCCACCCCTCTCCCACCCCTCTCCCACCCCTCTCTCACCCCTCTCCCTCCCCTCTCCCACCCCTCTCCCACCCCTCTCCCACCCCTCTCCCACCCCTCTCCCCCCCTCTCCCTCCCCTCTCCCACCCCTCTCCCCCCCTCTCCCACCCCTCTCCCACCCCTCTCCCACCCCTCTCCCTCCCCTCTCCCACCCCTCTCCCTCCCCTCTCCCACCCCTCTCCCACCCCTCTCCCACCCCTCTCCCACCCCTCTCCCACCCTCTCCCTCCCCTCTCCCACCCCTCTCCCACCCCTCTCCCACCCCTCTCCCACCCCTCTCCCAACCCTCTCCCTCCCCTCTCCCACCCTCTCCCACCCCTCTCCCAACCCTCTCTCACCCCTCTCCCACCCCTCTCCCACCCCTCTCCCACCCCTCTCCCACCCCTCTCCCACCCATCTCCCACCCATCTCCCACCCCTCTCCCTGCCCTCTCCCACCCCTCTCCCACCCCTCTCCACACCCCTCTCCCACCCCTCTCCTCCCCTCTCCCACCCCTCTCCCACCCCTCTCCCACCCCTCTCCCACCCCTCTCCCACCCCTCTCCCTCCCCTCTCCCACCCCTCTCCCACCCCTCTCCCTCCCCTCTCCCACCCCTCTCCCACCCCATCTCCCTCCCCTCTCCCTCCCCTCTCCCACCCCTCTCCTCCCCTCTCCCACCCTCTCCCCACCCCTCTCCCTCCCCTCTCCCACCCCTCTCCTCCCTCTCCCACCCCTCTCCCACCCTCTCACTCCCTCTCCCACCCCTCTCCCACCCCTCTCCCACCCCTCTCCCTCCCCTCTCCCACCCCTCTCCCACCCCTCTCCCACCCCTCTCTCACCCCTCTCCCTCCCTCTCGTCCCACCCCTCTCCCTCCCCTCTCCCACCGCTCTCCCCACCCCTCTCCCACCCTCTCCCTCCCCTCTCCCACCCCTCTCCCACCCCTCTCCCACCCCTCTCCCACCCCTCTCCCACCCCTCTCCCTCCCCTCTCCCACCCCTCTCCCACCCCTCTCCCTCCCCTCTCCCACCCCTCTCCCACCCCTCTCCCTCCCCCTCCCACCCCCTCTCCCACCCCTCTCCCCACCCCTCTCCCACCCCTCTCCCACCCCTCTCCCTCCCCTCTCCCACCCCTCTCCCCCCTCTCCACCCCTCTCCCACCCTCTCCCACCCTCTCCTCCCACCCCTCTCCCACCCCTCTCCTCCCACCCCTCTCCCCCCTCTCCCACCCCTTCTCCCACCCTCTCCCACTCCTCTCCTCACCCCTCTCCCTCCCCTCTCCCACCCCTCTCCCACCCCTCTCCACCCCTCTCTCACCCCTCCCTCCCCTCTCCACCCCTCTCCACCTCCCTCTCCCACCCTCTCCCACCCCTCTCTCACCCCTCTCCCATCCCCTCTCACACCCCTCTCCCACCCCCTCTCCCACCCTCTCCTCACCCCTCTCCCTCCCTCTCCCACCCCTCTCCCACCCTCTCTCCCCCTCCCTGCTCTCTCCCACCCTCTCCCACCCCTCTCCCACCCCTGTCCCTCCCATCTCCCACCCCTCTCCTCCCCTCTCCCCCCTCTCCCCCCCTCTCCCTGCCCTCTCCCACCCCTCTCCCTGCCCTCTTCCCACCCCCTCTCCCACCCCTCTCCCACCCCTCTCCGCCCCTCTCCCACCCCTCTCCCACCCTCTCCCACCCCCTCTCCCACCCCTCTCCCGCCCCTCTCCCACCCCTCTCCCACCCCTCTCACACCCCTCTCCCTCCCCTCTCCCACCCCTCTCCTCCCCTCTCCCACCCCTCTCCCTCCCCCTCTCCCACCCCCTCTCCCTACCCCTCTCCCTCCCCTCTCCCACCCCTCTCCCTCCCCTCTCCCACCCGCATTCTCCCACCCCTCTCCCACCCCTCTCCCACCACCCCTCTCCACCCTCTCCCACCCCTCTCCCACCCCTCTCCCACCCCTCTCTCACCCCTCTCCCTCCCCTCTCCCACCCTCTCCCACCCCTCTCCCACCCCTCCTCCACCCCTCTACCACCCCTCTCCCTCCCCTCGCCCACCCCTCTCCCACCCCTCTCCCACCCCTCTCCCTCCCCTCTCCCACCCCTCTCCCACCCCTCTCCCTCCCCTCTCCCACCCCTCTCCCACCCCTCTCCCACCCCTCTCCCAATCCTCTCCCAACCTTCTCCCAACCCTCTCCCTCCCCTCTCCTCACCCCTCTCCCACCCCTCTCCACCTCTCTCCCCTCCCCTCTCCCACCCCTCTCCCACCCCTCCCACCCCTCTCCCACCCCTCTCTCACCCCTCTCCCTCCCCTCTCCCACCCCTCTCCCACCCTCTCCCACCCCTCTCTCACCCTCTCCCACCCCTCATCCCACCCCTCTCCCACCCCTCTCCCACCCCTCTCTCACCCCTCTCTCACCCCTCTCCCTGCCCTTTCCCACCCCTCTCCCACCCCTCTCCCACCCCTCTCCCACCCCTCTCCCTGCCCTCTCCCACCCTCTCCCTGCCCTCTCCCACCCCTCTCCCACCCCTCTCCCACCCCTCTCCCACCCCTCTCCCCACCCCTCTCCCACCCCTCTCCCACCCCTCTCCTCCCCTCTTCCCACCCCTCTCCCACCCCTCTCCCTCCCCTCTCCCACCCCTCTCCCTCCCCTCTCCCACCCCTCTCCCACCCCTCTCCCACCCTCTCCTCCTCTCCCACCCTCTCCCTCCACTCTCCCACCCCTCTCCCTCCACTCTCCCACCCCTCTCCCCCCCTCTCCCACCCTCTCCCACCCCTCTCCCTCCCTCTCCCACCCTCTCCCACCCCTCTCCCACCCCTCTCCCTCCCCTCTCCCACCCCTCTCCCACCCCTCTCCACCCCTCTACCACCCCTCTCCCACCCTCTCCCTCCCCTCTCCCAACCCTCTCCCACCCCTCTCCTCCCCTCTCCCACCCCTCTCCCTCCCCTCTCCCCCCCTCTCCACACCCTCTCCCACCCCTCTCCCACCCCTCTCCCTCCCCTCTCCCACCCCTCTCCCACCCCTCTCTCACCCCTCTCCCTCCCCTCTCCCACCCCTCTCCCACCCCTCTCCCCACCCCTCTCCCTCCCCTCTCCCACCCCTCTCCCAACCCCTCTCCCCCCCTCTCCCACCCCTCTCCCTCCCTCTCCCACCCTCTCCTCCCCTCTACCACCCCTCTCCCAACCCTCTCCCAACCCTCTCCCAACC